CTCAAAGTAGAATCTGGTCCCTTGGTCACATACTTTGTGTGTTGGCTCCTCAAGCTCTGCTGCAAGGACAGAGAATCCCCAGGAAGCAGTGGGTCCGGTACTGTATCCMGAACCTCATCCCTGGGGTGGTGAAGGGAATCAACTCCATCTCTTTAGTGATGCAGCTCCCTGGGGAATTCTTTGGTGGGAGTTGGTAACAATGGGCACACTGTTTTCCCCTCAGGAATCACAGCCCTCTCCCTGCATGCTGGGAAAAGGGGCATTTTTCGTGTSGTGTGTGTGCCGTGCCCAGGTCTCCACCAGGCAGGAGAAAATCGTCCATAGGGATCATTGGTAGCAAACGTAGGTGTGTCCTCAGCTGCTGTGTGTCAGGGTCTTGCAACATTTCCTTGACAAAAACAGACTTCCAATCCTCAAATCCTAACCTGAAGATTTCCATGTCTTAAATGCTCTTGTGTAAGGGCAGAGCGAACTTTTATTGTCTTTTGTTTGCTTTTGAAAGGAAAGTGTATGGTCAGGCTGGATAGTTCGGTTTTCAAGCTGAGAAGAAGAAAGTAAAATGCAAAGACAGAACTCCTGCTTACATTTTTTCTGGTTATTTGCACTACCATGGTCAAACCTGTTTTGGGTTTTCCTTATTGATTCCTTATGGGTTTTCATGGATTGCTGAAGCTGTGGCTGAGTTGCTCTGTGAAGGGCACCTGGTGCTGCGATCCGTGGGTTGGGTGGATGCAGAAGTTCAAGAATGGCTTTTTTCCCCATGGAAATCTCTGCTGGCTGCTCTTTTCYGAGCTGCCTGTGCGTAGGTGCAGGCAGGGAGACCAGTTAAAGTCACTTCCCACTTTCCARTGCGGGCCAGGACATCCTGTTCTTTCCCAGCAACAGGACAGGGATGCTGCAGCCCCGTCACTGTTCAGCTATTCATGTCTTCAGTTGGATTAGATTAAATTCAAGACTGCCTTTGCACTGGGAACGTCTCTGGCCGATGATTGCAATGATGATGAGGTTGGGGAGGTATTTTTATTTTGTTTTTTCCTCCTTAATTTGCAACGTGATGCTCAGGGAGCAGCTTATGATGGGAATTAACCAAAGGGCTGCTGAACCCAATGCTTGCTTGGCCCCTGGGCTTCTGGAGAAGCAACAATTCCCACCTGGCTGGTTCCTAGGAAGAAGTAGAGTGATGCTGTCTGTACCAGCTGCTGCACAGCCAACAAGTGTCATATAAACAAGGGTTATTTGGGTGTGGATAACAAGGGTGAGGGTGCTGGCAGCCTGRGCCTGGCCAGTGTGACGTGTACATTCCACACCTGCTCTCCTGCACAGGTGGAGATGTTCTGTTGGTTTTCAAAGTGTTTATTTCTAAAAATCAGGCTGCTCTTTGCACTTGTGTCACATCTGATGACCCACTGTGTTCCTGAGGTGTTAAATGACGCAGCCCAGGCATGGCCCTCCTGTCCTGGCACAGAGATCCTGCTGGTCCCCATAGCTGTCACTGTGGTTGTCATGGCCACTTCTATTTCTGTGTGCTCAGGGGCATGGTKTCCTCTCTTGGGAACAGAGGACCATTGCAGTCACACAGATTGTGACCTCTGGGTTGCAATTAGCAAAGCTAATTAAGGATGTGCACCTGTGGCACCTCCTGCATTGCAGACCCTCAAGCGGCACCGCTGTGCCCCGTTCTCTGCCGTGTTTGCTCACCCTGTTACCTCATGGCTCTGTCCTGTGGTGTTGGTTTCCTTCTGGTTTAACTTCTAAGCACTAGAGGAAAAAGCAGCAGCACAGCCTGGTTTGGGGCTTTGCTTTTGTTTGTGTTTTGTATGAGGCTTGTGGCTTTTGCAGCAGTAGCATTTTTTTGTCTGTGGTTTTTGGTTACCTGTGGTTGCTGTGGAAGGTTGAAGTGAGAATCCTTCTAGGTCTTTGCTGAGCAGGCTGTGAGGCACATGYTGCCAGAGCTGCTGGCTCTGGAGGTGTGTTTATCCACACATAAACACAGCCCTGAGTTCTCTCTGTGCCTCCTGAAGCCGGCATGGCTGGCACTGGAGCTCCCTGCTCCTGCCCCACAGCCTGGCTGGGGCCACTTTGTGCAGGGATGGAGCTTCATTTTTACTAGAAGAGTAAATTATTGTGACCACAAATGGTGAAACTTGGCATCCCTTCCTGATGCTGGAAGGGAGAAGAGTCCTAGAGGACTCCTGATCAAATCCATTTTGGTGTGTTTCCATGGAAACAGGCTGAGCAGGCAGGGTCCTTGGGGCAGTGGTGAGCCTTGGCACACTGTTTGCAGGGATATTCCAGCTTGGAGCATGGCATTATTCCTTGAGCCTCGGCTCCTGGTGCTGGGGAAGCAGGACAGGCCCTGCAGCCRCCTCTCCCTCCTGCCAGGCTTTGGGGGCGCAGAGCAGGAGCCTTTGGCAACCGAGTGTTTGTATTGGGAGGGAAAACATTTCCGACTGTTAAAACAAGGGAGAATACAGACTTATCTCTCCCAGCGTGGGATGGAGCCCCGTTTTTCCACACAGCAAATCTCTTCCTGCTGGCCCTTTCCTGTGGTCAAGCCTCTTTCCTGTGGCCATGGCTTGTCCCTTTCTCCCTGCCTGCCCTGCCCTGCCCCATCCCTGGTGCCACCGAGGGAAGGGGTGGCATCCCACCATGTGTCTCTGAGCACTGATGCTGATCCTCTTCCTCAGGCCCTGCTGCTGGACCCCTCAGGGACACAGCCCCTGAGTGGGATCATCCTCTGCTCCCACAGTGCCAGCTGTCAGTCAGCCCTGTTATGTCCCAGTGAATATCCCAAAGCTGTCCTGTAGTGCCAGCAGTCAGTCAGCCCTGTGCTGTGTCCCTGTCACACCCCAGCACTGTGGCAGCCCCATGGCAGCAACAGTGCTGTCCTRTGCGTGCACTCAGGAGCTCTGTCAGGAGCCGGTGTTCAGCCAAGCCTCCGTACGTGTGGGAGCCGAGTTGTGTTGGTCTGGAGGAGCCTGGTTTCCATTAAGAGCTCCTCCAGAGCCTGCCAGGCATGCACGGTGCGGGCTCACACTCCCTCTCCCTCTCTCTCTCCCTCCTCCCTCGGGCTGGMAGGAACACATGGTGCATGGAGACCCTCTGTCCCTGCCAGGTGTCACCCRTGGGACCTGTGTGTGCTGCCCTTCTCCCGGATCACAGGGACACCAGAACCATGGTGCTTTGTCACCTGCCCCAGGCAAGCACCCATAGAGGGGACAGACAGACAGAGAGATGGATGCTGGCTGCGGGTGCCACTGCTTTCAGAGGGGCTCAGGGAACCTCACTTGGCTGGGAARGGATTGAACATCACCTGTAGCCAGCAGCAGGGGACAGTGACAGATGAGGATGCAGCAGCATCAGGGACAGTGATGAGGGTTTGCAGGGGATGAACAAAGATTCCCCTGAGCGAGGGCTGAATGAGCCTCTGGCCCGGCCTGAGTGAGCGCTGGGGGACTGAGGGGGAATTATTTGCTGAGGTTTTCCATCAAGTCAATGACATCGTTCTGTGCGAGAGTTCACTCATTTACGTGCTCCAGCCCCTGGCAGCTGGGGCTAAATAGCGACATTCAGGCCTGAATCTGCCCATTCAGGAGCAAAGGTTTGACCCGTCAGAGGGAGCTGCTGAACGAAGCTTTTGAGGGAGAAGCGGGGACTGGCCACTTGGTTTCATTACCCCAACATCCATTTCAATGTTGCCCACTTTTTCTCTCCCTTTCACAGCAGCATTTCAGAACATCCCATGATTGCCACCACCATAGTTTTATTTTCAAATTTAAAAAAAAATCCATGTGCAGCAAGTTCCTATGTACAATCATGGTCCTGGTTTGGCAAAGCAGTGGTGGGAGCTGCCCTTTAACATCTGTGCCATCACATCTTCCCCACTTGCAACTTCCTGAATTTCTGGAAGTGCCATCTCTGTGCACAGCACAAAGGAGTCCAGCCTAGACTGTGCCTATAGTTGGARTCCCAAATCAGGGAAAAGTGTAGGATAGATTGGAGTATAACATTATTCCTTTGCCTTTCTTCTTGTCACCTACATCCTACTCCGTGAGGTCAGGCAAGTGCAGCCTCCTTCTGTTTATATCTCAGGAATTTGTTGTAGCTTTATACAGGATGATGTGGTCGCTCCAGTGAGTGTCACTGGTGCTGTTCCGACTGTCCCTGGGTCTATTTTGGTGTCACTGCCCCGTCCCAGGGCTCCTCTGCCAGCGCCAGCACACGCYGCCCAGCCGCGTCCTGCAGCCACACAGGATGCAAAGACACAAAGCATCCTTTGGGCCAGAAACGTCTGTGAAAGATCCAAAAATAATTTGGTCTGAGCCACAGCCACCATCAGACAGTGTGTTTGCTTCCAGCCCGGATGGTTCCTGGCCAGCAGGAGCAGCAGGTCCCAGGGTCATCTGTGGGTGACCAGGCAAGCCCAGCTGAGCCCCCTGGCTCTGCTCTGTGCTCTGTGGCACTGTCCTTCCCTCAGGGCCTGTGTGTGTCCATGTCTCCAAAGAGGGGCAGTTATTTTTAGTCCTGCCTTTTTCCTCACATTTATTTTCTGACTCTACAGATTTTTCTCCCATATTATGAAACAATTCCCGTGAACAGTGGCCAGYCTGTCCAACAGCCTCTGTGCTCCAAGGAGCTGTGCCGATGCACRCAGAGCCCTGGAGTATCTCCTGTGTGTTTTCCTGCAGGAAAGTGTGTCAGTGTCCCTTCCTGTATGTGGCTGGACACAAGGCCATCGATCGGTTGTTGTACTGTGTGGTGCATCCATTAGTGCTGCAGAAGTTTTTTTAGAGAGAGAAAAAACCCAAACCTAATGCTCTCTGCAGCCTCTGAGGGTTATTAATGCTGCAGCATTTTCTGCAGGGCTGAAATTCCCAATGCCTATGGATTTTCATAACTACCTTCTTATGGTCTTGTTCCATTCAGGATAAATTCCTAATATGTGCAGCCTCTGTAGAGCAATTGCAGAAACCCACAGCTGATTCTCTGTCCTTTTCCAGGGTACTCCTCAGCAGTGCAGAAGTTCTCCCAGACTCTGCAGTCCTTCCAGTTCGACTTCATTGGCGACACACTAACTGATGATGAGATCAATATTGGTGAGTTCCCTGCTTTTTGAAGCCGATTTCCAGTAAATGGAACAGTCTCCCTCTCCAGGAATTAGCCTGCCTGATGGTTTCTAAGCAGCCTCRGGAGCCAGGCTCCAAGCCGCTCTTCCATAGCTTATTTTATGAAGTTGAACAGTCACGGGTCGAGTTWCACATTCCCAATTCAGCGGATAATTTGCAGAGGTTTTCCATGGCTCCAGGCCTGCTCCATGCTGCCAGGTGCTGGGGAGGAGGCGGCGTGGTGCTGACCTCCCAGCCAGCCCCCCTTCCCAGTGCTGCAGTGGAGCCCAGCGGGCGCTGCTCCCAAAGCTGCCTTGGCTGTGTCAGAAAGGCCTCACAGGAGCAAACTGCCCCATGCTGCCCTGCAAAGGCACCAGGCTGCAAACTGCTGGGAAAAAAGGGTTGCTGGATGTGTCTCGAATGGAAAACAAAGGCCAGTCTGTGCCCTGGGCAGGACAGCTTGCAGGGCTGCTCCCTGCACATCTGCTTGGGGATTAGTGATCCTGGAGCTGTGTTTCATCCCTGCCCTCCCCCAGCACTGCTCCRGAGGTCACTCAGCGTCCACTGCCTTGGAGAACTGAGCCAAAGGGTACAAATGCCCCAAACCCAGCACATTTCACATGAATCTGCTCTTGGCTTAGCTTGGTGGGTGGACGCTTGTGGGGGTGACAGGCTGCAGGAGGGACAGCAGGAGATCCTCAGCCCCAGAGGTTCCAACCCTGCCCCATCAGACAAAATACTTGGGCCACCAGCCTGGGCTGACAGCTGGGGCTGCCCATGGGCTCACAGGACATTTCCAGGCAGGAGCACAGGATGGGACACAGGGTCTTTGCCAGGCTGCTCCTGGGGTCTGCACACAGGGGAAAAGAACAAAGAAAACCAGCTTTTCTCAGTGGTTTAAAAGTGGCAGCAGTGTGGCATTGCTGATGTTGGGTCTCTCAGCTGCCGTCGGAAGGGGAAGGAAGTAGAGCCTGTTCCTTAGGCTGTTGTATTTAAAGCCATGTGAAGCAGACTGCAGCCTGCCCCTCCAAGGTTTGTTTCCTTTGTGGAAAGTCTCTAGGTGAAACCTGCTGGAAATGAGTCAGCCTCCAAATCCAATGGCAACAGAGGTGCTGAGCTTCCAAACACATCTGGGTCAGGGAGGGGAGAGCTCTGCCATGTAAATACTTCTCCTGGGAGCTGAGGGGTCTGAGGCAAACAGCCATGCAAGGAAAGGAGTGTCCCTCCTCTTGGCTGGAAGGGACAAAGCTCCAATGGCAGAGCAAGGCTGTTGGGAATTGCAGAGATTGAATAAAGGGATTGTGGGATGAGGGAGAGCAAGAAGAGATCACTGCAGATATAAAACTCTCAGTGGTGAAAGGAACATGTTTCCCTTCATTTTTGCTGGGGAGTGTTTGTTTTGCTTTTTCAAGAAGAGGTCCTTAGTTTGCCTGTGAAGAAGCCCGGGCTGTGTTTCTCCTCCCACCCAAACCCTGCCGTGCCTGCAGGGGTTGAGGCTTCYTTATTCCTGACACAGCAGTGGGGCGTTGGCGTCTCCGTAGCAGCTTCCATCTCCTGCAAGGGTGCCAGGGATCTGCGTGGGAGTGCAGAGCTCATTTGATGTGCAGGATAGGGGAATGAAGCAGAGCACTTACATTTCTCATGGCATTTCTTATGYGCTGCAAGAGAACGTGTTTGGGTTGTAAATGGAGCTGAAGTCACACTGCTCTCTCGTTGTGTGGGCAGAGAGCAGCCAGGCACCCGAGCGGGTGGCAGTGGGGACACTGCAGGTGGCAGTCAGGATACTGGGTTGATGTTGTCTGTCRTGAGCAGCACTTTTCCCCTGGGAACTGGGAAGGTCCCAGTCCACAGAGAGGCACCCGTGTTACCCAACGGCTGCGGCCCCTCCTGGGCTCCCTCCTGTGGCCCCTCTGCTGTCACCTTATGGGTCCCAAATCAGCAGCTCCTGCAGAGATGAAAGGAGCAGTGAAATGATGGCATGTTCCTCCCTCCTGGGCATGGGAATCTGGAATCCTCTGGCTGTGGGGACCCTCCTGGAATGCTTCTGGCTGTCCAGGAGAGTCGCTCCAGTGTTCCCAGGTGTCAGTTCCCATGTGTGGCTGGCAGGTGGTGGCCACTGGTGGCCCCTCTGCTCCGCACTGCCCTGAAGGGGCTGGCAAATGCTGACCCAGGCCAGTAGCACAGATCCACCCCAGAGCTCCCAGGCACTGCTGGGCTGGCAGCAAGGCCTCAGCCTCGTGTGTGCAGTGTGGGGTCAAATTCAGTGGGCTGCTCTGTGACTGAAGCCAGGAAACACGTTCCTGAGCTTTTCCTGGAGCACAAAGGGAAACAAACAGCTAGCAAATGTTTTAGGTACTGACATATTCCCTSCAAGTTTGGGGCTGGATTCTCTCTCTCCCTGTGATAATTCTTTTCCTGGCTCAGGCCCCTGGTGTTGGTGCACTCCAGGTTTCCTGTCATCCTGGGGAACCACAGTGACAGCCACATGTGGCACTGGGAGTGAGCACTGTGAGCCATGGGGCCATTGCATTGCTGGGCACAGGAGCCCTTGCTGGGGGGCAACTCAGAAGTTCCTGATTCATCAGGAAAGTCTGTTGTGCCACTGCCAGCTGACAGCCCATGTCACAGGGCTGCAGTTGTTCCCTTTTGTGTGTCCCAGCAGCTGCAGAATGAATCCTCATGCTGGATTTTAGCAGGACAGGTACCTCTCCCAAGGTTCCGCTGTGGATGAGGCGAGAGGGCCCTCAGCTTGCACAGAGAGCACAGTAGCACCCTCTCCMTGACCTGTGGGACAAGCTAATCCTGTGCCTGCCTTGCTGTACACCTGCTCTGCCCTGCCCAGCCTGGTGTGCTGCAGAGAGGGAGGGTTTGAATGGCAGGTGCAGAGCTCTGGGGTATGACAGAACCATTTTGACCTGTCCCACCAGGGCAAGAGGGAGCCTGGCACCTGCCAGACCCGTCCCACACTGTGCCCAGCAGGCTGGAACTGTGGGAACCTCTCTCAGCTGACTCCCAGGTAGTTCCCAGATACTCTGGGGTAATCAGGTTGTTCCCAYAGGCATCCAGCACACAACCACGCTACCTGCGTGGGCAGATGTTTGCCCAGCCTTGTCTTGCAGCCCAGAGAGATGGGAGTTTGGCTTGGCACTGTKTGCTCTGCTGCTGAGAGGTTTCCTYCCCTRTGACAAATTYTGCCCCTTCCCAAGTTCTCCTTTGATGGGCAGGGAGAGGAGCTGCATGTCCTCCCTTGGTGTGGGGTGAGTCAGCTATTCCCACCTATCTTTTTTTTTCCTCAGGCTAAATTATTCTTCATTCAGTTTGTTAAAGGAAAGTTTTCATGCTATTTTTATTGTAGCTGGAGTCCAAATGCTGATCAATGAGGTCTTTTTGTTTCACTTCTAACATTTTGGGGAGTGGTGTCAGTGACTGACCATGTCTACACCTGCTGCCTTTCCTCCTGTACATGGATTTTATGCTTCCCATTGCAGAATGTGATCTTTGTCATTCCAGGCCATTTTCATTTAACACACTTGTCCTGGTCCTGGCAAGCACCTGCAGCTTTTCCAGGGCAGAGGTGCCAGGCCCATCCTGATGCTGCCAGCAGCTGTCCAGGCAGGACAGGCAGCCCTGTCCTGCCCACAGCCCTTGCTGCAGACCCTGGGGATGGCAGCTGCCCCTTCCCCCTGTTCACCTCTTCCCTSTGTTTGCCCCTTCCCTGCTGCCTGCCTCCCCATCTCAATAGCACRATTCCTAGTAAAAGCAGATTAATGTCCTATTCCCTTCCCAGGCAGGAGACTCTCCTCTCCCTTGCATAAACAAATACCCCTCATGGCCAGCCTGCACATGGCATTGCCTCTCACTGTTTCTGCCAAAAGGGGCCACCTCTTCCTGGTTTTTTTTTTTTTGCCAGCCTCTAGATGGCCATGCTGGGGTTGCAGCCACAGTGGAGTACCCTGGCAWGTGTCCCACACTCCAGTGCCACATCCCAGCTCCACTGACCAGCCTCTTCTTCTCTTACAGCCGAGTCCTTTAAGGAGTTTGCAGAGCTGCTGCAAGAAGTGGAGCTGGAGAGGTCTATGATGGTAAGGACATCTGGGAACTGGGCTCTGTCATTCCTGACATGGCTAAGTGCCAAATCACAGCCACAGCACCATGTGCTTCGGTGTGAGGCTTCCCATCAGAGGGGAGCTGGGAGCACTAGAAATGTGCTTTGTACTCATGTGGCCCATGGTGCTGTGCTGTGCTGTGGGCCCTGAGCATGGGGCAGGCACAGCAATCAGTGTGGAGGGCTGCGGTTCTCCCAGGCAGTGTCCCAAAGCTCCCCGGTGTGCAGGCTGGCACAGAGCCCCAGGCTCTGCAGCTGGAGGAGCTGCAGTGTGTCCAGGCTGCTCACCAGCTGCTGCTGTGGTGAAATCAAGGGTTAAAGAATAAGAAGTGGTTTTGCTCAGATTTTGCTGGGTGCAGGCAGGCAGGTGTCCCTGAGCCCATCTGTGCCAGCCCAGCCCCCACAGGACAATGCACTGCCATCAGCTTCCTGCTGCATGTGCCCTCAGCTTCTCCACAGCTCCTCCAGAGCCAATGCTGGCTTCCCATTTCACTCCTAATTCCAGGAAAAACATGAAAGTTAGGCTCGGTGGAGAGCTTACAGCCTGCCAGGAATGTGCTGCTTGGCGCTGTGTTCCCCTGCCTCGTGCAGCAGCAGGAGCTCCTGCCAGGCTGAGGGTCCACAGGCAGGCAGGGAACACCAGGAAACCAGGAAAGCACTGAGATGCTTCTTTATTATTAATTATATCCCAGGAAATGTGGCTCCTCTGGCAATGGGGGAAGCAGTGGAAGGGATTATTTCGGAGATTGTGGGCAATGYCCAATTTTCAAAGTTGAGGTTTTTTGCCCTCTGCTTGTAGGACCAGTTCTCTTTTACAGCAGCTCCCTCAGGAGGTTTCACACTCACCATGTTCATCAGCTTGAAATTCCCTGAAGGGCTGTGGCTGTCCTGTACCCTTCTCTTCCATTCTGCCTTCTCTGGAGCTTGAGACAGAGCCCATCACAGACATGGGGGTGGGAAGAGGCAGCAGGGATGGAGCTGGATTCAAAGTGATACAAACTGGGATGAGCTTTTATGTGCATTCATGGTAAAGGTGTGCAGAGCATCGCCCAGGAAAGCATCTCTCAGGCATGAAACAGGAGTGGAAGAGACACAGGCAGGCTTTCCCTCTTCCCTGGTTGTTCCTGTGACAGATAAACTGGCTGGATCTTGGGAGAAGGGAAGTTCATCCTTTATCTGACAGCAGTGTTGTTAGATGGGGATGGGGCACCCCCATCATCCCCAGGATGATCCCAAAGCCTCCTCTGTCATGGTTGGGGTTTGCTGTTTACCAGTGGGGAAGAGCAGATACAGAGGGGTTAAGTGACCTCACCTACAGACAGAGATGAAGTCTGCAGTCAAAAACATTAWAATCTCAGAGTCCTTGGCTTCTAGCCCTGTTTAGGAGAACATTGATCAGCGCCCTGCAATAAAAATGTTGTTTCTTTACACTGTAGGTGCAGAACGCGAGTGATTTGCTGATCAAACCTTTGGAAAACTTCCGGAAGGAGCAGATAGGGTTCACCAAGGTAAGGCTTGTTTGTTTGTTTCCARTGTAAACAGATTTGTTTTCTGTTACCGTGTCTGAATTAATATTTTTCTCCTGTTGTTGTTAACAAGCAGACAGTTGCTCTACTGCATTCTGACTTCAGGCACTCAGAAACTCCCTGTTCAATGCTGGCTTTCAGCTGTTGGCATGAGGGTTCRTGCTGTGACTTTTAGTCTGATTTTTCAATCATAAGAGGCTCCAAAATCTTTTCCTGAGTTCTTTGGGCTCTCTCCTGGCCTGATTCCAGCACCGCCTCCGTCCTGAGCAAGGAGTGCTTGTTTCAACCAGGAGATCCTCCTCTCTGCTTTCTCTCTTTCCCCTTTGTTCATTCAGTGCTATTGAGAATAAAACACTTTCTGCAGAGTAGTGTGCAGTGGAGTGGGAGGGAGGAAGGGAAGGAGGGAAAAAGGGAAGGAGGGAAAGCTGCAGAGGCCRGCAGGCAGAACCTGATTATAGTCAYAGGGCTTTTGTTATGAAATATTTACGTGAAAGCGTCTAATGAGTCTTTCAGATGGACCAAACTTTTAAAGAAACAAGCTATAAAAAGCAAATTCTGCACATGTGGAGCACAAAAGATCATTTTTCCCTTGTCTACTATCAAGAAGACCAGGTTCYACGTTACTCAGTGGCAGCTTAAAATGGGGCTGGCTCTGACCCAGCTCCGAAATGGAGATGTTTTGGAGAGCATTTGGGGCTTGGATTCAGCCCAGCCCATCTGGAGGCTTTGACGTTTAATAAATACAGGGTTTGAGACGAGATACTCGATGGCCCCCCTGCCCTTTGCCATGCCCTGAGGGCTGGTGTGTGGAGCCCTCTGAGGAGCTGCAGCCATGAGCATGGCAGAGGCACTGCCCTCAGCCCCTGCTCTCGTGTCCCTCGAGCTGTTTCTGCCCAGAGAGCCCTTAAGGTGTGTAAGGGTCACTTTGCCCGGAGCCCAGAGTGCGCTGTGCCCCGAGAGCTGAGCTGCCTCCACCCAGGGCCATGTGCCCGTGTCCTGCTCCAGAGTGGCCGTGCCCAGTGGGCAGCACAGGGCTCAGCGGGGCTGGGGCCATATCCCTGGTACCAGGGGGGACTGAGCACCTGCAGCCCCTCCTCAGTCCCTGCAGACAGGCAGGGCGCTCCAGGTGGAGGCGTTGGGTGGTGACAGTGGCAGGACACTGCTCAGAGYAGCTGGAGAGGTGGCAGAGGGCAGRGAGTTGTYGCAGGTGGCTCAGTCCTTGTGGTTTGGTTTTGGGTTTTGTTTTGTGTGAGGAACATGAGCTGCAGAGGTGCCGGGTGGGAAGAGCGCTGTGCTGTGGCTCAACTCAAGTGCCCCAGGCAAGAGCTCACAGGGCAGCACCTTGCACCGTGCCAGGATCCCGGTGTGCCCACAGGGGTGCTCAGGAAGATACCACTGTCCCCAGTGCCAYCCCAAAGCCTTCAGAGGGTGTGAGTGGGAGCGAGCCCAGCCACTTGTCCTCAGCTTTGATGCTCCTGTGCCTCACCACTGCTGGGCTGTACCCTCAGGTACCACCTCGGGCACTGAGCCTTGCTTCACCTGCCAGCCTGCCATGCGTCCCCGGGTCAGAAGGTGTGAAGTACAAATGAGGCTCCTCACARTGGGGCTCTGTCAGTGTGGGTTCCCCCCATTGCTGCTGGGCCTGGCATCGCCCCGTGGGCCCTTCCTGGTCTGCACCAGGGGCAGAGGCTGGGGCCAGGCTGTGAAACAGGCTGGAGACATGACACAGGGAGTTTGTGCCCTCTGCTTAGTTTCCTTATTTTGGCAGCGTCGCCTTCTGTGAGATGTTTTCTGTTCCCTTCGCGAGCTGCTGGAGCCAAATAGGAAGAGCCCTTGAATCRGGGCTTTGTGATGCCTCTGGCTGGAGCACCGCCAGGCGGTCTGACCAACACATCTGAGTCTGCATTCACCCSTTCTGCCGGCGCGAATGGAGTCTCCTCGGGAGGGTGCTCCCACACAGGGCAGCCCCAGGCTGCCACTGGGACCCYCTCCAGCCACTCCCTCCTGCCTCAGCCCTGTAGGGTCACTGCTGTCCCCAAGACGTGCTGTCAGTGTGTGTATGTGCCGCTTCACAGATCAAAGGGACGCTCTGAGCTGACCCATTTCCCAGCCCTGGCACTCACAGGGTGAGTGTGGAAAGGAGCTGGCGCATATGGAGGCCCCAAGCCTCCCTCTCCATAGCCCTGGGGCTCAGCTTCCACACTGTGGGGCTGGGACACTTTGGGAAGAGCCTGGCTATACTTACTGAGTCGAGGAGGATTTGAATAGGAAAAGCTTAGTTCCAATTTCACTTGGAAGGAGATGGCTTTTTTAAAAAAAACACAAAGCAAACCAGAAAAGTCAGGAGGAAAAGCTTGTTTGGATTTACTGTAAGGGTGAGAGGAATACTGAATAGCTGCAGTATTTGTCAAATGTTCTTCCATAGGAGATAAYATTCCTAAAAGAATTTAGTTAATTCTATTATTAATTTCATTAATTATAATTTTAAAAGGAAGGGAGGATCGTAACTTCTACTTGCTTTCATCTCTGTGGGAGCAAGGCCTCAGGAGCATTTGAGAGAAACCAGTGGGTGAGGGGAGAAAAACCAGGATGCAGTGAGTGTGGTTTGATGGAACTGCTCTTTCTACACCTCTCAATTTGACTTTTTAGAAATCTGTTTTTTAATTAACTGCTGATGCCTCATAAGGACCCAGCATGTGTAGGACCAGCACATGCAGAGCAGCCAAAGCTGCTGCTGGATCACCTGCCACAGCAGGCASACAGTGCTTTCCTGAGGGCTCCTGCTCATTCCTGGGTAAAGCAAAAATACCAGCGTGAGGTTTTTGTAGAGCACCCTCCGGCCTCTGCTGGGGTGAATCCACTTGGTTGCTCCCAGTGAGCAAGAAAGGAAGATGGGTGCCTCTTGGACCTGGCAAACCTTAACAGAAACGTGGTGCTGCCCTTTGCTGAATATTCATGAGGAACTAATTTGTGCTCGTGTTTCCAGATTGTGCTTCAGTCTGGGTGATTTTTTGTGGGGCTTTTTTTTTTTTGTCTTGGTTTGCTCTGTTCGGCAGCCAGCTCAGAGGGATTTGTAGGTCATCCTTCTGCTGTTCAGTTCTATGCTAATTAGCCAGAGTGGGAATGATTGGCAAGCTCCCTCTTAGTGGCCYGAAATGCCATGCTGCACTGTGGTCCTGTTGTACATGGGCCCATCTTGGACATCATTCCCAGTCCCTTCAATCCCCAGAAAGAGCTCAGTGCTCCACGTGCCCCAGCCTACCATGGGCGCTGGCAGAGGAGGAGGCACTCCCTGAAGGAGTTGCAGTCTGCCTKCCCAGCTCCTGCTGCAGAWGGAGCTCCATTCTTTCCCATTTTTGCTTCCCCATTTTCCTTCCTTTTCACCAGTCCTTCCCTGAGCAGAGCTGACTCCTCTGCCCCAGGACCCGCAGGGAGCTGCCCACGAGCTGGTGGCAAAGCTGCTGCCAGGTGGTTTGTGGTCTCTCTGTGGCTGCAGGCTGTGGTCTCCTGTGGCCATCCATGTGGGCACCATGGCCACACACAGCTGATGGCCTCCTCCATGGGTTCTTGTTCTTGTGGCCATCTGCATGGGCACCTCAGCCTCCCCCAGCAATGTCACCTCTCCTGGGGATGAGCCAGGAGCCATATGCTTTCAGGCTGCTGCATCCAGGAGCTCATAATTAAGGAAATGAAAACAAGATGAGTTCCTGGCTGCCTTAGACAGGGCATGAATGGCACAGACAGCCCAGGAGTGTGACCTTACAGACACGGGAACTGCTGCTCCGCAGACGCTTTCGCTGAGCTGGGTTTGGGTTTGCATTAGTCACGAGGGTGGTGGTTTGTTTTGACAGTCCTTCCTGGCCTCAGCCCCGCAGTTGCTGAGCTGTTTAAATGAGGATTCACCCTTGGAGGACTCTCTGCTGCTCTGGATTTGATGTGGACCTCTCTGTCCTGAGGAGTGAGGTTGCTAACAYGGAGTCACAGTATCTGATATGGCAGGGGGTGATTCCAGAGGATGCACTTCCCTTTAGGTGTCCTGTAATTCCAGGGTCTGCAGGGCAGGACATGTAATTGCTGAGGTAAAAAGGTTTGCTGGGCTAAGCCTGTCCTGCTCCAGACAGTTATATATAAGCAGGGGTAGTTGAGCTTGTGCTGTTTCCCCATGGTATTTGTGCTTTCACTACAGCCATGTCAGGACTCCTGTGGGGAGAGAATCCATTTTCCAGGAAGGCAGCCTACAGGAAGGCTTCTGTTATTGGGAGACAACTGTGCTGAGCCCAGGTAGGGGTTTTGGGAGCCAGCAGGCATCCTGCTGCAGGGCACCCCGACGGACAGATGGAATAGTCTGAGCAAGTGGAATGGGGAAGCAAAACCTCATGGCAGGGGAAGCTGCGGTCACTACTGAATTCATGAAGAAAATCCCTAATACCCAGCAGTCTGAATCTGGGATTAGCAGAGCAGAGTCCATCTGCTCTGGTTTGTAGTGGCACTGGTGTGTGCTTGCTTATCTGTGAATTTCTGAGTGGGGGCAGGAGAGCAGRATTTCAGAGCTTTCAGGAGATAGGTGTTGGAAGATACCAGTGATTCCCCAGGAAGCTGGAACTTCCTAACTACTTTCSACTTTCTTGAGCTTTCCAAAGCCAGGTAGAGAATCTGTGCATCCCATACATACCTGTACTATGTGTACACAGGCTCTCAACTACTTGGACCTGGCACTGAGGCTGCTGCTAGGCTGGAATTTCCAGATTGTAGTAATTTAGTTGCCTGCCAGGAATCCCTGGTATCTCCGTTATTAGCTGAAGTGGGTATTTGTCAATCTGGCCCCTGCTCTGATTTCGTGATCACCAGTGTCTCAGTCAATGCAAGACAGGAGCCAACAGCCTGGTGCTCAGTTCTGCTGCACCCTGCCTGTTCCTGGGGGCTCCTTCTCAAGTGTCTCTGCTGCTTTCATTCATTCGTGCTCTCAGCTGAGGATTTCCTGCCCTCCTGTCGACCTTTCAGGCTTCTGCTTTCCTTCTGGTACTCTTCAGAAACAAATGATAAACTCTGTAGAACAGAGAGCTGCCAGACTCTAATGAACCTTTTCTTGACCTTGACGTGTCTCTGACATTGCAGTGTTTGCCCAGTTGTTTCTGGGCTGTGTGAACAGCACGTCAGCAGATGGTGAGTAGGGTTTTGATGTGTGAGTGCATCTCCAGTTTACTGGACATTGAAGAGATTGAGAGAGGAAACAACACCTCATCAATGGAACTTTTTCCATTATGTTGGCATGAAAAAATACTTCTTGTGCCACAGAGTATTGCTAGACTGGGTATTGAGGTGTAACTGTATCCAAGGCAGGCAAGGGGCTGTGAAAGCAGAGCAAATGGGCAATGGCCTCCTGTTCTCTGTCTGGGTTCACCAAGATTTGTCCATGGGAATAGAGAATTGCACAAAGGATCTTGGTGTTGCTGCATGTTCCTACCTGGAAAATTCCAATAACTGGTTCTGGTTCAACCTCTTGCATCTACAGGAAAGAAAGAAGAAGTTTGAGAAGGATGGTGAGAAGTTTTACTCTATGCTGGATCGCCACTTGCATTTGTCTTCCAAAAAGAAGGAATCTCAATTACAGGAGGTGTGTATGGAATTTTCCTCAGAGATGGGTCCAGAAGYAACAGCACCACCTTCTTTATGTCTTAAAAAAGGGGAGGGGAATCATCCTTTCCGGTAACCTGTTGAAACTGGTAATCAGTTAAACCTACCCAAAGCCTGGATTCTCTGTGTGATACCAGGAAAATCAAGTTCATAGTTCTTCTGTGTCTGGTGGATGCTGGTAGTGGCTTTATGCATTGTCATTACTTGTTGTCACTGTGATGGTTTAGGGCAGTGACCAGTGGCAGTGGCATAGCTGGGGACTGGCCACACTTTCACCTGGGGAAGTACTCTGGCTGAAAAATAACCAGTTGTTGGTTTGTTTTTTTTTTTTTTGCTGGCCTGGTTTTTTTTTTTTTTTTTTTGCTGGCCTGGTGTCCTGCCTTGCTGCTGGTGCTTTTGGGTGGCTGTGGGGGTGGACAGAGGGGAGTTCCTGCCAGCTGCTGCTGCTGCAGGCACGTTGCAGCAAGGAAGGAAACGCAGCTGTTCCAGCCCACACCAGAGCAGCGGGGTCTGGTTGGATCAGTCCCACCAGTTGTCAGATCAGCCTATGAGCATCTCTGCAAGGCAGAGTGTGAGCCCTGGGAGCAGTGTGTGCTCCCACTGCTGCTGCAGGTCCAGAATTGGTGGTTCTGGGATGCAGATGGAGTCAGGCAAGAGGGTGGTGACAGTGGCTTTGTCCTCACAGGATTGTGTTTGTAGAAGAAGCTTGTGCTAAAGTCAAAARTGAGCTTTGGGAAAGCCTTGTCCTTGCAGAGGTTTTGGATCCTTGAATGAAAGGGAGCCAGAAACGAGCAGACTTAGAAGAATATCTAATGTTCCAGTTGAAAGCCAGGCTGGATACCYGGCAGGCTGTTTTTAGTGAGGACAGAACTATTTGTGGGCTGACAGACAAAAGCAAGTCAAATGTTTTCAAACTACATGTGACGTATTTTCTTTTTCCACCTTTCYCTCTTTCTTCTAGGCTGACCTTCAGGTGGACAAAGAGCGACACAATTTCTTTGAATCCTCCCTTGAGTACGTGTACCAGATCCAGGAAGTACAAGAAAGCAAGAAATTCAGTATTGTGGAGCCGGTAGGAACTCCCTTTTCTCTCAGCTCCATAGGCTGATGCTCAGATGTGCTGATGTGCTGGCAATGGCAGGAATGATGAGTTACCAGGCTGGATTTGGTCCCACAGGCAGGAGTTAACCTTGCACCCTTGGCTTGCTGCAGCTTGACAGCCATAGTGGTTCTTGCTGGAGCACTGTGAAACCTCAGCCCTGTTTCTTTTGGCTGAGTGCAGGGACCCTGCCCTGGGTGGCAGCTCTGCCCCAGTGTAGGCTCCAGTGGAGTATGGGATCGTAGGATCCTGTGGATCTTGTGGATGAGCACTCTGCAGGTCTGCTTTGAGTCTCCCTGCAGGATCTTTTATTCTTGGTGTTTTAGTCAGACAGATGTGTGGGTGCTAGCTTGGTCTTTAGGGGCACTGTGGTGGATAAGCCATACCAAGACTGGCATCATTCCAAAGTTGTAAGGAAAAAGTAATTGTACATGTAATTACTGAAACCCCACACTCTGCCTATTTTCCCTTCAATTATAAATACAGAAGTTCAGCGTGTCCCCTCCATTGCAGGTGCTGGCATTTCTCCACAGCCTTTTCACCTACAACAACCTGACAGTGGAGCTGACGCAGGATTTCCTCCCATACAAGCAGCAGCTCCAGCTCAGCCTGCAGAACGTGAGTCCCTGCCCAGCTGAAGGACTTTSCTGTGTGACTTCTGTTTTCATTTGTATTTACACACCTCTGATGGCAAGGCCTTTCCACCCAAGCAGTCTGGCCATGTTTGCCTTATGGGAGCTGCAGATACAGTTATTTCCTTCTCAGTTCACATGGGTTTTGCCCTCCTGCACAGGACAGTTCACAGGTCTATGAAATTGTTTTCTCTGGAAGGAGCTGTTGCATCATTCATAAACAAGCCTGAGATTTTCTTTCAGYTCCATGAGATTGAAATTGTACTCTAAGAAGGCCTTTAACCTTGATCTTAATGGTACTGGTTTACTACGGGCTTGCTGCTTGCTTTGGTAAGCTTCTCTGCTGGCCAACTATGCTCATGGGGTAGAATATCTGGGTCCTGTTTCCTTTATCCTCAGTCTTTCCTGACTGGCCTTCTTTCCTGTGGAACAACAGACATAAATCTGGGCCASGCTGGTTTTGCTGCTGGCTCATTAGTTGGTCCAAGTAATGTTTCCATCAAAATGCCTGATTTTGTACCCCATGTTGATGTGACTCTTTCAGACCAAGSAGTGTAGCATGATCCTTTGGGAATCAACACCTTTGGGAGGAGAATACAGTTGTTACCCAAGCAATGGTGTGAATGGGAGCTCAGGTGCCTCTGCTCCACCCAGCCTTGAAATGTGCTGAAGTTTTTTAAGTAAGGGAATACATGGCATCCCAGCTGTGGCACTCTAGCACCATCTCTGCACATGGTGTGTCTCTTCAGTCATCTCTAAGACCCCAGTGGTTCTCATAACCAGAGTTCCCATGTGGATTTATGGAGTGGTTTCCATGTTTTGTGCCTTGGGGACAATTCATTTCTGCTAGAGCACCTCASATATATCTAGGAATAAATACCTGCAGCTTGCTCTTTGTGCAAAATATGCTTCTGTTTCTTTTCTGTTACCAGACAAGGAATCACTTTTCCAGCACCCGGGAGGAGCTGGAAGATCTGAAGAAGAGAATGAAGGAAGCACCTCTAACCTGCAAGCTGCCTGGGCAGCCAACCATCGAGGGCTACCTGTACACTCAGGAGAAATGTAATGGCTTYGGGATGTACCTGGATGCAATTGGAAACGTGCAGACCTGGGCTGCCCTGCACAGCCCAGCTGTGGTCTGTACTCAGCTCCCATGCCCAGCCAGGCCTGCTGCACCAGATGTCACTGCTGCCAGGGCATGGCATGTCCAGGGTGTCATCTGCCAGTGCCTGAGGTGCCTGGGGAAGCACCAGCAGCCTCAGCTGGCAGCTCTGTCAGCAGTGGSACAGAGCTTTCTCCAAGTGACACAAGCTGTGACAGCACAGGGCTAATTGCCCTGTGCTCCGATGAGATGGGATTTATGACTCCAGAGCCTGGAGCTCTGGCAGACTCTGCCTTGSCTGTGTTTTACCAGGATGAATCTGGTGTCCTGCCCAGCCTCCCTCTGGCAGCCTCTGAGGGCAGCTGAGCACAGCCAAGGTGGAACCAGTGCTGAGTAAAACTGCTGAGAGCAAAACCTGTTATTCTGAGCAGAATCAAACCAAATTCAGCCTTTTCCAAACCTTGGCTGTAGCTCTCCGTGGTCATGCAGCAGGAATGCTCAGGGGACATAAGTCTATGCAAAACGGTGACCTCTGAGGTTACAGACAGCTTTGTAAGCATTCATTTTAATTATATATAGAAATCTATTTATACATATATTTGTATGTCTGTTTATCCTGCTTTTAAAAGAAAGCACACACAGTAATTTTAGACCCCAAATGTGGCATGCTCCTGCAGGCCAGTGGCTATTTGCTGCTTCTGTTTATGCTTCCCTATGAATCAGGTATAAAAAGTTGTTCTTCCTGGCAACTGCAATTTAAAAACAAATTACAGAAAAATACCAGTTGAATTGGGTTCAGGTAAGAAAACAGAGAAAAATTACAATAAATCCAGTGTGATAGAAATAGGAACTTTGCGGTATTTTAAAGCTGCTGTTGTCTTTATTAYTGAGTTTTCAACAGCAGGAGAAAGTAGTGGGGTGTGTGAAACAGGCATTCAGGACATGCAGGATCCTGCCAGTGTAGGTCTTGGCTGGGCTTGGCCAAACCAGCCTGGCTTGTGGCCAGAGTCCCACAAACGCCCTTTCACCAGCAGTGAGTTGGGAGGGTGCTGGAGGCAGCTGCTGCCCTGTGCTCCTCTTTTTCTCTCCCTCTCTCCTCCTCCCCTTCTCTTGCTTCTCTCTTCATCTCCTCCCCCTTTCATCTCCTCTCCTCCTGGCTCTTTCCCATGGAGACATTTGCAAGGGAAATGTCCCCCGGGACTGTCAGTGTCCATTCCCAGAGAAGGGAGGACACGCAGGCCACACTGACCATGCCTTGCTATCTGCATTTAGCTACAGCCCTGTCCCTGATTCCAGCCTCTCTTGTGTTCTGCAGGGGCRCTGGGCATCTCCTGGGTGAAGTATTACTGCCAGTACGAAAAAGAGGCAAAAACYTTACGGATGACACCCATAGACCAGAAGCCAGGAGCTAAGCAGGTGAGTTGAATGTCTGCAAACACTGACCCAGCCATTGGGCCCACCTTCCACCCACACACAGCCTCCCTTCCTGTGACAGCTGACCCTGKAGGTGCCACAGAGCACAGGGATGGGCTCTTTCCCCTCCCTGCCTGCCTGCACAGGGCAGTTTGGTGTCACCTGGAAAAGGCACCCCCGTGAGGAAAGGTCTCACTCCACTGTGGCCCTGRGAGCCCTGCAGGATTAGGCAGCAGACATGAGTCATAGGACATGAGTGTCAATGGGCAATGCTGACCCACAAGTTTGGTCTGGAGTGAAAGTTTTGCCTCACTAGCCCAGCTGATGTTGACCCTTCCCCATGCAGGGGGGCTGGGAGCCACAGCTTGGGCTGCACAAGAGCCGTGGCAGCCACTGAATTGCCTGAATGATTCAATTTACTACAGGAGTTACTGCTTCCAAATGCAGCATTTCCTTGCCTCAGCGTGTGCTCCCAGCACTGATTTGTGGTKTGATCTCTGCTCTCAGCACTGGTTCTGTGAAACTGGGACAGTGCTGGGAGAGGAGAGGGCAACAGTGCAGCTCCGAACTGCAGTAAGGCAGGAATTTGGGTAGCTACTTCTTTGACAAAGTGCTTTGGTTTCCCAAAGTCTGGGAGTTCCCTCAGTCCCTGYGCGTGACAGGGGAGGGGTGGGAGGATGGAGCACAGCCAGTGCCTCCAGCTGAGTCCCCCGCCCTCCTCTGCCATGGAGCGGGTCCCCAGGGCCTTCCCAGCCAGGCGTGTGTGCTCCAGTGTGTGAGCTCATGGGCTGCCTTTGGCAGGGCTCTGCACACTGCAGCAGGAAAATAAAATGGATGTTTTGCAAGCCCTTGGCAGAGAGCTGGGCAAAGAAACGTCCAAACTATTGTATGGAGAGATTTGTTGTWGTCTATGCCATAAGCCATAAGTGTGCCTCATAAGGCCCATTACTGCAAGTAAGAGCTTGAAAAAATTATTGCCTTTCCCAGACTCTGGTGGTCTGCACCATCAGATCACAGCTGGCCACAAACCCACAATCAAATTGTGAATTGACTCTGCTGCAGAGCACAGGGACACAAACACCCAGGGCCAGAGCTGAGCCTCTCTCCAGAGCACATCTGCCCTAGGTGGAGTCAGAAACGTCTGTCCTTTTGCCACAAAGTGTTTGTGCAAAGCCATTTGGATCACTGGTGGTGTGGGTCATTGGTACAATGGTCAGCCCTGATGAAAATTAGGAGCCAGAGCCTGGGTGAGCATGGTCCTGGCCTTGCTGGGCTTGTTGGGGTCCAGCACTGCAGAGGCAGAGTGCTGCTGTGTGGGGTAGTGCTGTGAAGTCCAGAACATTAGAGCAAGCCTGGAACTTGGACCCTCTTATCTCTGTCTGTGTTGATGGTGGAAGGACCCCTGTGCTCCCGGTAACAATGCCATTGGAATGTCAGGATGTGCTCTGGACAGTGCCATGCAGGGCTGCAGCTGAGGGGCCTGAGGAGCCCGAAATCTCGTGTTTCTGTCCTCTCACCTTGGCTTTTGTGTTCTTTCCTAGGGCACCTTGGACCTGACCCTGAAATCCTGTGTAAGGAGAAAGACTGACTCCATAGACAAGAGGTTTTGTTTTGACATTGAAACTAATGAAAGGTGAGAGGGTTTAGRTCTGGTGGCCCCAAACCCCAAGGGCCTGCAGCAAATGCCTCTTTGCTGTCTATCAAAAACAACTTTTCTTCCTTTCCCTGCCCATCCCTGGGGCACTTCCATGCAGGTCCGGGACCATCACGCTGCAGGCACTCTCTGAAGCCAACCGAAGGCTGTGGATGGAGGCCATGGACGGGAAGGAGCCGGTGAGTGTCGCTGGAGCTGTTCCCAGCTGGAAWGCGCTGCCGAGCAGTGTCCTCTGCTGGCGGCTGCTGCTCGGGATCAGCGCTGCACCATCGCATGGGCTCCGTGCTGTTCCCTCCGCTCCCACTGGGGATTTTGGGTTTCATAGATCTCGGGATGTTCCCTGGCTGTGGCAGCCAGCCTTTCCAAGGCTGGTTCAGTCCTATTCCTGCTCCTCACTAGCTGCCAGAGATGATGTTTTGTCTGYCCCTGCTCTGAGCAGCCTTTGCAAAGGTGGCACTGCCCACCCTGCACCCATGTTCTCCCACCTTTCTGTGCCTACTGGTGTTTCCTCCTTTCAGTCTGAGCAAAGCTCAGAGCCCTGTGGTTTGCCTACAGGACAGAGAATTTCCCTAGCAATAGGTGCCCCACTGGAATGTGGGAAGGCAGCAGAAACTCCTTGATTGTGCCAGTAATGGGTTYTTGCCTAATTATAAAATAACATTTCTATGGGACATTGTCCTTTTGACTGTGATTGCCTCTGGGTAAYCTGAGGGTGATTTATGAGTGATTTATGGGTGATCTATGGGTGATTTTATGGGTTGCTGCATTTTCTTTGAGATATAAATACCAAATCATGATGATGWTTTTATTTCTCCCTCCCCCATTCCCTCTCCCTTTTTCAGATCTATCACAGTCCCATCACGAAGCAGGAAGAAAGTGAGTCACTTCTGTTGCAGTTCTTTGGGCTYTCATAGCCTGGAGGCTAGGCAGGATGTTCCCTGCAGATACACTCATCCTCAATTCCTGCTGAGTAGCAGTGTCCCCGCTCCRTGACAGCAGTGTCACTTCTGTTCTTGCATCACAGTGGCTGGCACRGAGTCCAGATAAGAAAAAGTTGCACACAACTGCAGTGAGCAGCTTTTATTTAGCCAGGAGTAGTGGGATGTGAGGTACAGTTAGCACCTCCAAACCGCAGTTAGAGATTCTGAGGACGTGTCCCTTAACAAAGATTGTAATAGGGCAGTAGGGGTGGCATTGAGTTTCCTGGAGCTCCCACCCACCACCGTGTCCCATTCCTCCTTTCTCAGCAGTGGGGTGTACCCTGCAGAGCCCTGGAACCCTGGGGCTCTGCTGGCTGGGTGAAACCTGCATTCTGTGTCAGAGCTCACTTCATCAGCACTGTAACCAGCTGCTCTAATGAGCACGGAGGGAGCATTCCCAGAAGCATGAGCACAAACCTGCTGTGTGGCCATGTTCACACCACACGCTGGGAGGAATGTGAATTAGGGTTTCACTAAATAAACACTCTCTGTAATAGAATAGAATAAACACTCTCTGTAACAGATTAGAGCCTGTAAGAATTTCAGTGGTATCACAGCCCTCAGCATCAAGTGCTGAATGGGTCTGTGTTTATTCCTGGGGCAAGACTAAAATACATCTGAGCTTGGTGTTGCTGTTGCTCAGAGCAGACAGAATTAGTATAAACAACCTGCTGAAAATACAGAGATCCCATAGGATTCCCCACCTCAATGGAGCAAGCCCTGTGATCAGCTTTCCTCAGCACATCAAGCTGGATTGGTTTTGCTTTTTAATCCTAGTGATGAAGATAAGCAGAAATTACACAGTCTCATGATTGGGAAGGGCATTCATTAATATTTTGCTCTAGAAATGATTATTCAAGTCTTTATCAGACACAATCCACATGATTTACACTTTTATTATTATTAAACACTGATATACACTGTTATTACTAAAGACAGAGAGAGGGTAGGGAGCAGTGCTGCAATTCAAAATAAATTTGAGATAAAATGGGGGAACATGGAACTAGTGACTCCTTGTCAGGATGTCCACAATGCCAGTTTCCCTGAGGGTGTACGGGATGTGGGTGCAGGTGTGAACATTCTGTGTGCTGGGGCATTGTGGCTCTGGGTGGTGAGAGGGACTGGGTTGGGGTGRGGATGTCCCAGGGGTCTCCTGGAGTGCTCAGGCAGCTAACACGACTTCCTTGTCCAAAACAGTGGAGCTCAACGAGGTCGGATTCAAGTTTGTTCGCAAGTGCATCAATGCAGTGGAGACAAAAGGTGAGGAGCTCACAGGCCTGGCCGTGCCTCCTTTGAGTTACCCTGTAGTTCCTGCAGTACAGATTTGGTCGCTTACACGGGTGACTTTGCTTTTAGCTGAGAAATGTGTGTTCTTCAGTTAAACGCATGTTCTTGAGGAGTAGAAATCCTGCCTGGTCTGGAATGCTGTACCAAAGTTGGTCAGGGTTGAACTTCCACCTTCATGCTGTTTTCACTCATGGTTCTCTCAGTTTTGGCCCTGAGCACACCCACTGTTGGGGTGCAGGAGAAAAGTTCCAGCAGTGGGGCCGAGGGTTGGCTACAGGCTTCTTCAGCCCCAGTCTGTGAAGCAATAAAATCAAGTGAGAGGATGACAGCTCGTCCTCTGGGCTGTCACATATCACTCAGCGTGCACCAGTAAAAATCCAGTGAACATCACCAGTGTGGGACAGGGCCCAAGCTGTGGGACAGGGCCCGGGATATGGGACAGAGCCCGGGGTATGGGACAGAGCCCGCAGCAGGAAAATAATTCCACTAGATGGGGCTTTTGGATCACTAGCAGGATCCAAAAGGGCTGACGCTCTTGGCTTTGTCCTTGCAGGAATCACTACGGAGGGCGTGTATCGGACTGTTGGCAGCAATATCCAGGTGCAGAAGTTGCTGAATGCCTTTTTTGGTAAGAATTCATTATTCTGTGCGATTACACTGTCCTGTTCTTGAGTTGTTTGTGAGGGACAGAGAGGATCGGGTTCCACAGTGAGAAATGTCCATCGTGGGTTTTGATTGTTGTGGCCCATCTGAGGCTCATGCTCCCCTTCTCTCCTGGGATATCACGATGAGCTGGACTGGAAAGGTGGCCTTTGCAGGGAGCCCTCCACCCTAGAGTAAGGTTGTTTCCTGGAAGGATGAGGATACTTCACTGTGTGTGGTGTATATTTTAAGGAGTCAATGTAAAGAAGTCAGTGGATGTRCTCCTGCCGCGAGCCTTCCTGTAGCTGGATCTGTCTGCCATACAAGCTTGGCAGCTGGGGACAGGCTTTGTATGCTCTGCTGGGACAGCTGGGCCCTGGCTGAGRCCATCGTACCCTCACCTCCTGGTCACCTGTGAGCCTCCTGGGGGAGCCCCGAGGTTGATCCCCACATCCCAAGGCCAGGTCATYCTCCCAGCCCCGCCTGAGGCTGGAGCACAGGGCAGGGATTGCATTCACCGCGCTGCCTGCGTGCCTCGGGCTCACGCCAGCTCAGACATCTGATATTAATGCAGCATTCAAAGGCTTTGGCTGTTGTTTCCTATTGCTTCTACTCTGGAGGTTGTTTACGAAAACCCTGGTTTGCATTGGTGTCTGGCTGTGCCCCATTCTCACAGAGCTGGGACTTCAGGCATCTGCCCAGCTCCACTGGCCTGTGACTCATTGCTGAGTCTCAGGTTCTATTGCTGCTTGATTCTCACCCTCCCTGTGAGCAGCTCTGTGGTTTTCTCCTCTGAGTCCCACCAATGAGTGGCTTTTTGTTTTGTTTATCTGCACGGGTCTGGGTAACCGCTTGCCGCCCCCTTGCATATGAATGCACAGTGGGAAGTCCAACACCACAGAAATAACTGCTGCAGCAAGGTTTCATCCTTAACTGCTCCAAGGAGATAGATTTCAATATTTTACCTCCAGTTCTATTTATTTTTAAAAATAAATCCTGCTGTTTACTTCTGTAGTACAGCTTCCCCCCATCCTACAACCACATCCTTCACCTCCTGGCGCCACAGACACTATGTGGTTTTTCAGTGAGGGTAGGCAGAAGCAAACWGTATGCTGCTGGGCCTTCCCTGAGCTCCCTTCTCAGTGCAGCAAGAGGGAATGCTTCTAGAACAGCCTTCAGGGGAGTACCTGCAAATGAGGGATGGGAGCTGATGTTCAGATTACTTTGGATGTCAGAAAACTTGTCTTGGACCTGTTGAAATGCATTGTTTCTGCCAGCCTTGGGAAAAAACAAACTATAGAGAACATGCTCTCAGTGACTTTTCAGCACTGCCTAAATTTTACTTTGTGCTTCCCTCTTTGTCTCTCATTAGCGCTGCTCCCCAGCCTCTCCAAAATCCTGATGCTGGTGCTGTTGTTCTGCTTTTCCCAGCCATGGGAATCAGGAGTTCTCTTTGTGCGCTGTGGTGGCTTTGTGTGTCTCAAGGGGAAATCCCCACACCAAGCAGAATATTTATTAGCAAACTCTGAATGAACTTTATTCTAAAACCTTTTCATTCTCCTTCCAGATCCAAAATGCCCTGGGGATGTGGATCTCCAGAGTGGGGATTGGGACATCAAGACCATTACCAGCTCACTGAAGTTCTATCTCAGGTACCACTGCAGGTCACACCTGCCCCAWGGAGGCAAAGGAGACTGGGACTGATCCAGATGAAAGGTGGAATGAGCTGGCACACATTCACATCTGACTTGAAAAGGGCAAAGTGACAAAGGCTTTGGGAAGAGGAATGATAAATATGGGAGTTGCARAACCCCCCAATCCCATGGGGAGACCATTTTCAGGGATATTGCTTATGGGGAGGAGACGCCACTAGCACCTGGTGGACCTGAGGGATGAGCCAGTTTGCCCATCAGTCCAAGATGGGTCACAAGTGGGTCACRCTGCCCTGCAGAGCTCACTTTTCTCTCTGGTTGTTTCAGGAACCTGTCTGAGCCCGTCATGACGTACAAGCTCCACAAAGAGCTGGTCCTGGCTGCAAGTAAGTCCCACAGCTGCCCCACTAATGTTCCCTGGTCCTGCCCTCCCAGCCAGGGTCCATCAAAATCACTTGGCAGAGCTGTGCCAGCCCAGCTCTCTGGTGTCCAGGTGCCTCACCTGTAGAAGGGGCAGTGACCCCTTCCTCAAGTGCTTATCTGTGCAGGAGATGGGGTGCTGGATGTTCCCTTCCCTCCTTTGCTACTGCAATTCCCTTCCCTCAAACAGGGTCTCATGCTCTCAGAGAGTCTGGAGAGCCAGGGGGTGTCATTCACTTTAGAGCAGCACAAGTGTCCCGCAAGAATTGTTTCCCCCTAATATTGATACATTTATTTTAAAACCATGAGAGAATGGGATATRCTGTTGCCACACACATAATTAGATGTTCCCTTCAAGTTGTGAAATTTGTCCTGGGATGTTGAAAACAAAGTGTCTACCAGTACATGGAAGGCATTTCTGTGCTGCAGATGTTAGGATTGAGTCACAGGCAAGAATAACAGAGGTCGGCCAAGAAGCACAAGTGTAGTGCTGGGGCTTCACCTGTGCTGAGCCAGCCTGTCCTTGCCTGTTCCCTCGTTGTGGCCATTGCAGATAAGCCATGGCAGTTGGGAGCCAGTGCCCTGTGAAGGAGATTGTCCTCACCCTCAGCATGGCAGTGCTGGCATTTGGAAATGYGTGGCATTAGAGCATCCCTCATCCTACTGTGCCTCCAGAAGTCACCAGGAGGCTGAGAGAGTGTCCACTTCTTCTCCATGTGTCCCTCTGGGAGAATGAATAACAGCCATTCTTTCTTGAAAAGTTCCATCACTTGCTGAAGGTGGTCAAGCCCAGGATTTATTAGTTTCAGATGCCCATGATGCCTGAGTATGGGCAGGATCTTTATCCCTTCCCTGCACTCCCTCAGAAACTTGCCAGCCACCCAGACCCCACACCATTCTTCTCACACTGAGTAYTTTATTGTTTCTTTATTATTTATGCCTCTAAGGGTGACCTCTTTGGGTCAGGGACTCAATTCTTTTTCCTGCAGGATGTTTTAGGAGTTGTTCAGTGTCAGAGCTCTCTGGGCTGATGGGACTCCCAGAGGGAGGCTGTGTGCTCCCAGGTGTGCGGGACAAAGGTGCAATGCCCGTGCCCAGCCCCTTTTGGAGTGTGTCCCTGGGCTCCTTTTCAAGCTCCATTTCTTCCTCTTTCCACTTGATATCGTTTCTCACAGTGTTCACCCTGTGGCTGTGAAATCTCACTTCCCTCTGCTCCCCATCACTCCCATGCTTCACAGGGAGCAGCTCCCCTTTGGCTTTATATTTCCCTGCTGTRTTTGGTTTCAAAGTGTTTGGTGCAAATTCTTATTTGTGTTCCTGCTTTCCAGAGTCTGAGAACCTGGATTACAGGCTGGGAGCCATTCATGCACTGGTCTATAAACTGCCTGACAAAAACAGGGAGATGTTAGAGCTCCTCATCCAGCATCTTGTCAAGTAAGCAGATGTTTTCCTCTAAAACCAAAGAAAGKGGAACAATGGAATCAGCAGAATCAAGCCTTTTTGAGGGGGTTTGGGTTTGCAAAATTGTATTGGCCATAGTCCCTTTGGGAATTTCCATGGGGATTGCACAAAGGGAGCGACTATCCTTGTTGCCCTCTGCATGAAATGATGCTTCTCTTTCCTGTTGCTCCATCCATCCCCTTTTCTGACATGCACAGGGCAGGAAATTRTTTAAAAATTAAAAAGAGCATGGGCTGTAAATTTTTACCCCTCAGAGATTCATTGGAAACCACCAAAGTGGGCTCTCTATACTCAGTCCACTTCCTTCAAAGAGACAGAAAATTAAAGCCAGACATTCATTCTGGATAAAAAGGATATAGGACTTAAATGGTTCCTTTTGTGTATAGGCTGTGCAGATAACTTTTGATTGTAGAGTAAAAGAGGAGCTGGGAGTGAGAAGAGATCAAATAAAGATGCTGTCAGCACGTTGCTCTCTCCAGCATCTGTCCGAGCCAAACGTGTGTGTTAGAGCTAGAGCCACGTTTGTCACTGCTGGAAAACAAATTCTCCTGAAACACAATGAAGAAAATGGAATGACTGATTCTTAGTGTATCCTGGTTTGTTTTTTTTCTTGTATTAAGATCTATTTGGAAAAAACAAACCAAACTTTATTCCTCCTTTCCCTGCTCTCTGCAGCGTCTGTGAGCACAGCCGGGAGAACCTGATGTCACCGTCCAACATGGGGGTGATCTTCGGGCCCACCCTCATGCGAGCACAGGAGGACACCGTGGCAGCGATGATGAACATCAAGTTCCAAAACATCGTGGTCGAGATCCTGATAGAGCACTTTGGGAAGGTACGGGGCAGCCCCGGAGCAGCTCCAGCTGCTCCAGCCTGCTCCTGCAGACTGTTGCTGTGGCAACACGGCAGCGCTCCRGCTCCTTCTGGAGTCTCCTTGGGCTGCCTTTATGTAACACGCTGCTCTCAAAGGCTTCAGGAGGAAGCAAAGGGTAGCAGGTGTGTTCCTCAGTGTTGCTTTATCTGGTCCTAGAGGAAACAGCGAGTCTGGGCATTTTTGCCTCTTCTTTTTAAATAAGGGGAGGCTTTATTGAAAAATCCCTATTGTATGACTGGATATTACAGGGCTTTGCTTCTTCCTTTGCTAGACAGGAGCTAGRCCAGAGCAGAATTGGTTTTAATAGGCACAGTCCAAGATGAGACACTGCACAACTGTTAAATCAGGGGAAAAACTCCAGAGCAGACAAGTGTAGAATGGTTGATGAAAGTAATTCAGCTGTGGATGCGTTCAGATGCAGATACAGGAACGGTATGGAGATGGAATGGGGAATCTGAGGGACGTGCTCCCTGGAGTGAGGGCAGTCTGTGGAAGCTGTTGCCTGGGATGGAGCAGACAGAGGAGCTGAGGCCGGTGCCTCTGACAGGACAGAGAGCCCTGGAGAGCCTCCAGTTTCCTCTGCCTTCCATGGATCTGCGCTGGGTATTTTAGCCTGAGCATTACCCATGTGTCCAGCCAGGGTTGCTGGGGTGGTGCTGAAGATGCACGTGCAGACAACAGCTTTGCCATGTGGAGGTCTGTCTTTGGAAAGCAGAATATTCCACTGTGCTTGCGCTTGCACTTGCTCTCAGCGATACCCAACACCAGCTCGGGGGTGTCAGGTGGCTGGGGCATCACAAGAGCTGTATGTTAATACTGAAAGCTTGAGCAATGTTTGCATCCAGAGCAGCAGATCCTCAGCAGGAAGCAGATTACTGCCCTGGTAACAGCCCCGGGGTTCAAGGAGTGAGTTTGGTCCTCTGGCTTTTCACAGCAGAGTACACCGTGTCCAAACCTCTCTGATGCCTTAGAGGCAGGAAGCGGGTAGAGCCATTTGTTCAGGGATGCTGTTTGCTGTGAGAGGGCTGGGGMAGCTCCCAGCATACAGGGCAGCACATGGGCAGGGGCTAAGCTCCTTTTGGAAAAGCGAGAGGCAGCCAAGTTTCTTACAACAGGGTTGTGGAGCCAGAGCAACCAGGTGGGGACCTCATGGGGGTGTGGGACCAGATGAGGGGGTGGGAGTTGGCTGTGATGCTAAGGACTGAAACGGGGTGAAAGAGCTCAGGGAGACTTCTGAATACCCACACGACAAGTTCATGGAAACACCAGCCAATTCCTTTGTAGGTGTCTGTGAACACTTCTAGTAAGTTCCTGCAGAAAACCGGGCACTGGTTTGTGTCTGGGACCTCACTCATTCACTCCAGGCTCTGTGCTCCCCTCCCTCCAGCCTGCAGCACAGTCTGAATCAATACAGCCTGCCACTTCTGAGAGCTGGGATGACAGCTTTAATTAAACCAGATGTCCTTTTGCTTGCTTTTAATTTCTGCAACAATAAGGTTAAATTAGTCATATTTATTAGATTGAGTTTATAAGTTCAGTATTGGAGCCGAGAGTATTTTCTGCTCACACATGAGCAAACAGCTCAGAGGAGTCTGGAGGAAGAGGGGATGTGGGTTATATGGTGCAATCTGAAGACTCTGAGGACAAAGTAACTATTCATGAAGTCTATGTGGATAATTGCTGTTTCCACAGCTCATGTTTCAGTGCCGTGGTTAAATTAAATAGGTTGATTGTTCTGGAAACACCTTCTTCCCTGTGCAAACCTCCTTAAGGTGAGGGTCTGTCAATATCTTTGTACCCTTAGGTTATTTAACTTGGATTTTCAATTAGAAGTAAATCAGAGCCTTCACCCACATCTTGAACAGAGTAATTTGTGGTGGGGTTAGCTTGGGTTTCAAGTATTGAAAACAGTATTCTTTGGTGCCTCTATAAGTGTCCATGGGGAACAGGATTGGATTGGATTCTGCTCAGTATATAGGAATAAGGTTGGTATTTCCAAAAGACTGCCCTCCTGCAGGCAATCCTTTGCTGTCTTAGTAATACATGAGCTGCTGCTTTTAATTCATGGACTGCCATGTCACAGCAATTCCCTCTGAATCCAGGCAGAGAGAGCACTCCAGCCCTTGTGTTTTGGAGTGGTGAACATGTCCTGCCCCTGCCTAGGGCAGAGCCCAGCGGGCAGTGAGCCAGCACCCGTCTTGTGTCACCAAACCCTGAGTGTGGGATTTTTTCCCAGAGTGGAATCTTCYCTCACTGGAAATATTCCAGAACTGTGAAATAATCCATTTGCTTTAGGGAGACCYTGCTTGAGCAGGGARGTTGGACCAGATGACCCAGCGTGGGCCCTTCCAGCCTGAACCATTCTGTGTTGTTCCTCYTCTCCTCRTGCACAGTGGGCCAGGCTATCAGGAGCAAGGCTTGGTCCTACCACATGGATTAATCCCAAGCCAGCCCAGGCTGRCCCAGAGCATGACTGTGGGATGTGGGGAGCTGTCCACTACTGCCCACCCTCCCCAGGCACACACTTGGGGCCAAGGAGGTTAAAAAAGGGACATGTTTTCCTCTCCCATCCCCCATCTTGGTCTCCTAGCCCTGCTCTTTGGCCCAGAGAAGAAGGTTTTGGTTTCAATTACCAAAACGAGTCACTTAATCAAAGCAGAATGTTACACTTCTGCATGTTAAGGTTTTTCTGGGTGATGCAATAAAGTTGTTTTTCCATATCCAAGCGTGGCCCAAGGGTGTGGTGACCCAGCATGCCGGTGGGGCTGGCACAGCTCTCCTCCTCTGGGCTGGAGCCATGAAGGGACCAGCTCCACATCTCCCAGGGCAGGCAGCACAGCCTCTGGGCTCAGCAGCTCAGGCCACCCCTCCACAATAACTGTGGCTTTAAAGCCTGATTAAGGTTCAATTAACACCCCGGGGAAAAGCAAAAGAGCAGCTGCTTTGGGCTTCATGTAGTGGTTCAAAAGTAATTCTTTTTCAGCTCTTAAAAAAAGCCCTGACATAAATAAGAACYTCCCGAATAATGCAAACCAAATAGGTACCACATTACCAGTCAGAAAAGAAGATAAAACTCAGTAGCATTGTTTTTATGCCAGTATTTCATGTCTCATAACTTTGCAGTGCCAGACATGTCATTGTAAGCCAGGGGCTGAAGGCTTTTAGTGTCAGTTCAGAAACAATGCAGGGTTGGTTTGGGTGTTTTGGGGATTGTATCTCTTCTATGGTGGTAATATTGGGGTTGCTGTCAGCTCCAAAGCTTTAGAGCCTTCCTTRCTGCTGCAGGGGAATCTTTGTGGCGGGTCACTTGAATGTGTCTCCCTTTACAGATCTACTCTGGCCCCCCAGAGGACACCACGGCCCCCCCAGTGCCCCCACCCAGGGTGGCTGCCCGGCGTCACAAACCCATCACCATCTCCAARCGTCCCCTGAGGGAAAGACCCGTCTTCTTCGGTGCCTCTGTGGAGGAGAGCGGAGGTCAGTCCAGCTGTTCCCTGCCTCTCATCCCTCCTGCTCCCTCTAACACCTTTCCAGGASCAATGGATGTAACAGCAGCATTTCCCAGGTCCTGGATATGGCAGGCAGTGAGGGCTGTTCAGAGAGAAAGGAAAGCCAAACGACTCATACATTGATTGCATTGTGTACTAAGTCAGATTATGTGGGATTTTAGTTTTTGTGCCACCTACTGCATTCTCCATTAGCTAAACTAAGGCTGGTTCTTGCACAGGAGAGGCCCAGAGGAGAGGTTTTGTGGCATCAAAGGTGCAAAAGAAACTGCATGGGGAGTTGATGGGATGGTAACTAGGGTGGTCTGTGCTGCGGGAGGCCCCTAGGGGGTCTCAAGCTGGCTCAGCCACTGGAAGTTCCACATCCAGAGCACAAACACCAAACGTTTTCCAGACCCATTGAGGGTATTTTCTAGACCAAGTTCAACTCTGCTGTTAAATCCAGCTGACTGTAAGGAAATTCTGAAGCCCTTATCMTAATGTCAAAGGGCACATCAGCTTAAAATCATGATTCTGCACCTGGTTTGCTCTAACTATCACTTCAGGCTGTGCCCTGATTCCATTGCCACCAAAGAGATGGAAAGTCTTTTCCGCATTAGTTTTCAGAGCTCTGACAGTGTTTAGCTATAAAGTGTGCTCTAAGTGCACTTAGTGACACTGGCAAAATGTGATTGATTCACATTGCTCTCTAAGACCCCCAGACTGCTAATGCAGTTGGGCTGGCCATGCATTTCAATGCTTCCCAACCTGAGAGCAGAAGCGTTTGCCTTGGACTGCCCTGAGGATGCATGGAGCAGTTGGGTTAATAGCAGAGCTCCTGCTCCTGGGTCTGTAGCACAGCCAGAGGTGTGGGACAAATGGCTTTTGGAGGGACATGAARTGTGGTGCACAACTAACCCCATGGCTCTCTGCCCCTTGTTTCTGCAGCAGAGCGGCTCAGCCAGACCCCCAATGGTGGTGGCCTGGAGGCCCCCAAGCCCCTGCACCGCAGCCGCCTGCCCGCACCCCGGCCAGGGGGGGATGAGCTGGGGCGTCCTCCCACTGAGGGCCGGCCCCAGGCACGCCCCGAGCCCGAGCTGGGGAAGCTGGGGAGCAGGCTGCAGGATGGAGGGGTGAAGCCGGCTGGCAGAGCAGCCAACGGGGTGGTGACCAGCCCTGGCCTGAGGACCGCCACGCTGCAGGCCAGGAGACCGGCACCCCGGCCGGGCATCTGCAGCAGAGAGGGTGAGTGTGCACCAGGGGCCTGGCCAGAGCCAGGAAAGAGTGCCCTGCACCCAGGGGAAGCCTGAGGTGCCYGAGTCAGCCCTCCCTGGGGTGGGTGGTGGGCTTCTCCCCTTGAGTCCTCTTGATGTAGCTCAGCAGGAGAGGCTCAAGACCAGAACAGCCTGAGGCATGGGTACAGGTCAAGTCTGACATTCTTTGTTGACTCTTAAAGACTTTGAAGGGTAAAGTGAATAGCAAGGTTGGATGGATCTTGGGGAAGAAAAGCAGCCAAGGGGAGGACAGATAGTGTCACTGTGCAGGGTGAAAGCTCAGCCACAGGAATTGCCATTTTGTGCTGTTCCTCTCCCTTTCGCAGAGCGGCACTGCACAGGGTTTGGTTAAGAGCACTGGTCGTTCCCAGGAAGTGTCAGCTTTACAGCCATCAGCTACACTGGTGCTGGCAGGTCCAGCTCCAGCCCCTGTTCCCAGTGCCAGGAAGGCTGTGCTGGGGTGGGCAGTGTGGGAGCTTCCTTTCACTGGACTCTGTCTCTCCRTTCTGGCTATTGGCCGCTGTCAGTGAGAGGGTGTTGAGGCAGACAGAACTAAACCCACARACCTGTTCAGTACCCCTTCATAAATATCTGGCCTTTGCCAAAGCTTCCTGCTCAGTGTTTGTCATCTCCATCCCTGCAGGCGACTGTGACGGTGTCCCTAAGCCGCGTTCCCATGGCGATAAGCCCGTGATAACACGTCCTCCTGTGAGACCTCCGGATCCACCGTGCCGGACTCCCATCCCTCCAAAGCTGGAGCAGAGGCCAGATCTGATAGCAGGGACAGCAGAGGAGATGCCCTCATCCGTGTAAGCCAGCAGCCCGTGGTGGGTGCACGGTGCCAGCRGGGGCACCTGGGGGCTCGGGGGCTGGAGCCCGTGGATGTCCCCTCAGCATTGGTGCGAGTGCGGGTTTGAGTGTCACTGGGAAAGCTGAGCAGAGGGAAAGCTGAGCCAGGGAGGGGAGTGGGGCCACAGCAAAGGCAAACACAAAGCTTTGGAGCTGCTCAAGCACAGCCTCAGAGCTCAGCCTTGYCCCATCCCCTTCCCTGCTGTTCCTGGGCCAGTGGAGCTGAGCCCCTTCCTGCCTGCCCCCAGCAAACCTCCCCCATGAGACACTTTCTGTGGGCAGGACAAAATCCAGATTGGATCTGCTTAAGGAAACTGGATGGAGTTCAGCTTCATCCTCATATTTCTTTCAGATTTTAGAGTTGGAAACCCCGCTGCCTTTAGTGGAAATTGAACAAAAGAAAACAAAAGGTGCCACGAGGGTCAGCTCTGTGCCAGAACTGCCTGGGAGAACTTCCCTTTCTTGAGCATGGGTGGGAGGAAAGACCATAAAGGGGATGGATRCACATGGGATTATAGGAAGAGCGTGGAAATGATGACAGGTGCTGTGGTTTGGTTGGTGTGGTGGTATTTGGTCAAAGTTAGACTCCATGATCTTGGAGGTCTTTCCCAACCTAAATGATTCCATGATTCCATGGTTCTGTGAGAAGCCCAGCCAAAGTGCTGGTGGGTGATGTGAGGGCAGAGCGGGTGCAGAAGGAGCCTGGCTGTGCCTTGRCACAAGAACTGTCAATTGAAGGTGATCTCTTCCGTTCTGCCAATGCTGCAGCTTGTTCCCCTGGCACAGAGCAGATCTCATTAGCCAGGACAAATCACAAGAGAGACTTCTCCTGTTTTCTTTGCAGGGTGGCCTCTAGGACCAAGTTCTTTGAGACAGCTTCCCGAAGAACAGGCAGGTAAGGCTGGCACGGGGGAAGGTGGCACGTGGACAGCAGCAGCCCTGCAGCACAGGGTGCTCCCTCTGAGGCAGAGCCAGCACAGACAGCCCCAGCCCCAGCCCAGGCCTGCCTTGTCTCACACAAACAGCAGATGGGGCTCAGCTGAAATGCTGAAACTAAACAGAGAGCACAAAGTCTCAAATGTGAGTCCAGATACATACTTGATGAGTAAAGTTTGCCAAGTGAGAAAAATCCCTGTGGATCCCTGTTGCCATGTTTGTGTGGATCTGTGTGATGTAGTGCCCATTCTACTCAGGCTTTATGGGGAGATGAGGTCATGGGTGAGGTGAGGRGGCTGGTTAGGTCCCAGCAGCTGCTGAGAGAGTGGGGCTGGTCCAGCACAGGGGGGTGGGGGTGATGGGGACACAGCATGGGCACCAAAGCCCTCAGCTCTCAGTGGCACCAGGTGCCATTTGTGGTAACATTTACCCAAATAAGCTGCAGCTTCCTGCTCTGAAAAGCCACCAACCTCTGCTCAAGGGAGAGCACGTTTATGTGTAAGCCTGAGAACTGCTGCCGCTACTGAGAGTGAAATCATTTGTTTTATTGCAAAACAGACCCCTCCCTGCCTGTTACCCAGCCTCAAGCAGCTCCTGGAGCTGAGTAGGAGCTTGCTCGTTGCATTCACTTTTTTCTCTGTTCTTCTGCTTCCTTTTTTCCAGTTCTTCATCACCACAAGGCAGGATCCCAAGTGATGAGAGCTGAGGATAAAGGTACGTGTTTATGACAACAAATCAAATAATAAACTGAAAGCAGACATGTAACAAAAATTCAATATTTATGGGGTTGTGGAAGTCCAGTAGTTCTGCTGTCACTGGTGGATTTGCACTGCTGCACAGAGCATAGAGCTTCTTTTCTTCTTCCAGGCTTTGTGAGCACCTCAGCCCAGCTGGACCCAGGAGACTTTCTATGCTTGTGACCCAGGAGTCATAGCTGAGCCTTGCCAGCCCCAGTGCCCTGGAGAGCAGCTATCTTACCGGACGATGATTTCCAAGCCACAAGTGGCTCAAGAAATTAGGAGAGCGAGACCACAATGGAGAGCAGGTCCTGCCCACACATCTGTGTTGAACTGTTCCCTGCCCTCCCACCTCYCCTCCCTGCAGGCTGTGACAGTGCCTGTGTGTGCCTGCACAGGTGATGGCAGCGTGGGCAGGGCTGGGGGACACTGACTGCCTGTGGAAGGGAYAGCAGAGCCCCCATTCACCTGCTCACTTTCAGGAGACACCTCTAAAAGGGTGTTTGGACAGCACAGGGGCTGAGTCCCTGTGTTTGGATGCAAGGGCAGTGCAGCTGTATCTGGGGTTGGCCACCCTTTACCCTGAGAAGCCCCTTCCTTTGTGCTTATGTCCCTCACTTGGTGAGCTGTGCTGTGGGGTCAGTGTGTGGGACAGCCGTGCCTGAGAATGCTGCCCATGGTGGGAGCCACCGTGCTCAGCTCTGTGGTATGTCTCCTCATCTCCTCCTGGACAACCCTGGCCTGGGAMACCACACTCATGGACACTGCTGGGCCAGGGGCTTGGCCTGAGCCATGACTGCAGCTTTGCCTGGGGTCAGCTGTCAGGCAGCACCCTCGGGTCAGCAGGCTCCAAGGGTGCAGCTGGGGGAAGGGGGCAGCAGGTGCTCTTCCTCCTCCTCCTCCTCTTTTTCCTTCACTGCCTTCTCTTCCTCCCACTTGAGCCACACTCCCACCAGATCCATTCTCACAGGCCCACCAAGAAGTCTTCATCCTGGGTGATTGCAGTGAGCCAGCACAGAGGTGCTGAGGATCTGAAATTTGCTGTTTATGGGTCAAACCCATCATTTTTCTAAGAACTGCCCAGTTTTTTGTTTGCTTGTTTATTGATTTCCAGTACGAGACACCCAATCTGTCCCTCATCCGTGGCCCTGTGGATGATGTCCAGTGGCCTGGGGGGTGTCCTGGCTGGGACCACTGTCCAGCCCTGTAGCAGCTGCCCCTGGGGCCCAGCTCCGGGACTGTGCACAGCAGCGAGCAGCTTCCCTGCTTCCTCCACCTGCCCAAAGATGATGCTCCCATTTTGAATGGTTTCCTTAGGTGCTGAGAGCGTTTCCAAAACAGTGGCCAAACATTCCCACAGCTCCATCCCCGGGTGCTCCATCCTTGGAGCGTGCCATGTCCTGCCTGGTGCAGGTTTGCCAGTGGGACACTGCCGCCGTCCTCGTCATCCCCTGGTGCTTTGCCTCAGTGCCACCTCCTGTCTCTAATTGCTGAATGTCACACACTGGCGCTCACGTGTGTCATGTCCATGGTGCTCTCACTCCCTTGGCTTCAGCAGCGCCCCAGCTGCTCCCTCCTTTGGACTTGGCACATGAAAGTGGCTTTAAAACCAAACCGGTGGTGTGCTGTGGCAGCTGAGGCAGTGCCACATGCACCAGCAGCACCCKGGGCTGTGCTGGGCYCCTCCTGCTGCAGCCCCTCACCAGCTCCAGGACACAGGGATCTGATCAGGGATCTCTGAACTGATAGGATGGAGCTCAAGCTGGAGGGAGCCAYTCTGACCAGCCTGGCAGTGGGGCCACCTGCCCACAGCACATTGACTCCTGGCCCTGTCGGGGTGTTGGGCCTGTGGATCTCCCACAAAAGGCCAGCGTTACCCAACCATCTTCCCAGCTTCGGGCTGCAGTTTGGGGACCCCTCAATCCTGTTGGTTTGGGAAGCTCCTGGGGTTCTGCCAATGCATGTGGTTCTGGAGGTGACATCCCACAGGAGCAATGGCTGTCACATCCTTCTGCTCATGCCCACTGCCCAGCACAGATCCCCAGGGCAGAGCCAGGCCCTATGAGTAGGGAGAATCCAAGGGTGGTTGGGTTTCAGTCTGACCGTGTGAGCAGTGCRGAGAAGCAGCTTCTTGCAGACATATTCCATGGTGTCCTTTTAAAGTCCTTTGTCACTTGTATGTCTGTGCTATCTTTCCTGCACCTATGGGTGCAGATGAACACTGGGACCAGCAGCTGGAGTGGTGGGGGTGCTGGTTGTGCTGTTGGGGTGCTGTGGGACCCAATCTCTGCTGCCAGGAGGCACAGTCCCTGYTGCTGTGAGCACATTCCCTGCTGCCAGTGGCCCAGGAGTGACAGCTGGGATCATGGGATGGCCCCGTGCAGCACGGCAGCCCCCCAGCCCCGGAACCATTGTGGTGTGTACAAGTTTAGGTTGCTGCAAGTGTTTATAAAGTTTCCATGAAGTGAAGCAGAACCATCTCAGTGTGTTTTGTTCCTCCTCACCCCGGGCCCAAGCGCTGCCCCCACTGCCGCCCCCTCTGCGGGCAGGTGCTGCTGTGGGGTCCCAGTGCCACACGTAGGGCTGTGTCCATGGGGCTCTGCCACAGCCCCAYTCTGGGTTTGCAGTCTCCAAAGCTGGGTTTCTGCATTTCCTGACTGGAGGAGCTGCCCTGCTAAGGCTGAATATTCCTTTGCTGCCACAGTGCAGCGTCCTGTGCCGTGGGTCACCGAGACTCCAGGTTTCCTGTGACCACTAAAGGCTCCTTTCCATCTATCCAGCRCTCTTTTTCCCTCCTCACATCTGTTTCCCCTGCTTTTGATTCTGATATTTTGCATCAGTGTCCACTTTTCAGTCCTCTTGCTTTTCTTTAACAGCAGGCCCTCTCAGGATAGAACAGCATTCCATCTGAAATGGGAATCTTGCAGCCAGCTCTGGATTTCTGGAGAAGAGGTGACYGCTCCAGACGGTGTTCCTGGGATCCCCAGGACAGCCCAGCTKCCCCCACAGCCACGAGGGTCCCCACTGGAGAAGGGGAGCATTCCTATCCACATCCTGCTCGGGGCTGGTCGCTGTTTTTGGGATCCTCCTGCAATTGTTTTGTCCCGGTGTGCCCCCCACCCACCTTGGGGGTCTTGGGGCAGCACCAGCCAGGTTTGCCAGCTCCAGAAGGTCTGTGCCGTGCCCTGGCTCCGAACCCGAGCAGCCAGAGCGCTCCCAGGGCAGGCACAGACACAACACACATRGAACAGCAGCTGAAGGGGTTTCTGCTTGTTTTCTTCTGRCTTCTTGTTTCTCTCAAACAGTTTYCTTCTSGGGTTGTAACTTTTCCAGGGCTGGATGCATTCAAAACAGCGGTGTTTGGGGAACTAAACTGTTTTCTTTCCTCACCAGGCCTTATATTAAGTGATCGTGAACTGGCATGAGCACTGAGGCACTGCCCCAACAATCCTKGTGTCCCAACCCACAGGTGCCTGGCTTGGTTTCTTACAGAAAACATTTGGATTTACTATGAGCAAGAAAATTATTTTCTAGCACAAGTAAAACCTTTCAGGTTTTTATAGGGAGAAAATAGCAAAACAAGAAGTTCCAAAGCTTGAGCCTCAGCCTCAGTGAGTTCTTCCCAGAGGAAGGATTTGAAAAGGCCAAAGACTGTGCAGCAGACACATCTGTGTGATAAATTTAGAATTGAAATACACTTAGTGGAACAGTGACATCTGAAATTTATGTGCTGCAGAGAYCCATGAAGGTGCCGGAATCCACCCACGTGGGACTCCTTGGAGGATCAGAGCCGTAGTTTTCATCTTTGTAGCTCTCCCTGACCCATCCCACTGCACAATTACCCATCTGGATGCTCCGAGCTGGGAGCAGCTCCCTGCGCCGGGCGGGTTCCTGGCAGCCCTTAGCAGGTTTCTTGGCCCGARCACACAGCTGTAAATCAGGTCGGGCCACCAAAAAAATACTGTGATTGGCTTAAACAATCAGGAGATGCTTTGAACCGGTAAAGGCCATAATGTTTTTCATTTTCTGTGTGTTCAGAAGTTTAAGAAGTGCTTTTACAGCCTCTGCTATTGTCTCTTAARAGCTCCCACAAGGCAGAAATTCTGAAGATGCATGAAATCCTGTCTGAAATGTGGCCATTCCCATGAAGGCTCAGAGAGACAAGTCCCAGGAGCTCCATCCTCCCCCAGCTCCATCCTCCCTCACTCTTTGTCCTGCACACCCCRCTCCCTTCAGTGCCTTGGCCCCACAGGCTCTCCTGGTGGCCACCTCACCGTGCCACTGCGCCCACCTTGCTCCTGTGGGAAGGGACACAGGGTGTGCCAGGCCCTGCYCTCCCTTGGCACCTGCCCAYGGCTGGCAGAGGGAGGCAGCAGCARTTTTGGGTAAGGAGCAAACCCCAGCCTTGGCCGACGTCCCTCGTGTCACGGCACTCGAGTCGGGGTGACCCTGCTGAGGTCTGTGGCTGCCACCAGCTCGTTCTGGGAGCGTGGGCACAGCCCTGGCACCATCAAAGGCACACAGGGCTGGCTGCCAGCGCAGCAGGGTCACAGTGCTGCTGCTCYCAGGCCTCCAGGGAGGGGAGCCACTGCCGAAAGGGCTGTTTGACACAACTCTCCAGTATTTCAGGAAACAGAACTTCTTTCTGTTTTAAAAATGTCCCACTTTCTGCTATGAGGACAAAAAGAAATAAATAACCTCAAAGCATGGGGCCGTTTTGGGGCTTTCATGCTGTTTCCATGTTTTTTCAGTTGTCTTCTTATTCATGGTAACTGGTCTTTCTCCAGTGAGCTTGGGGTGCCATTCTGCTGGGGAGCAGAGGGATCTCCAAGGGCAGCTCTGGAGCCCACCAGCATRTGGCTCATCCCCAGTGCTGGCATGGTGACTGTCACCATGCTGCCAGGCCCCACAGCTCCCRTGGATAGGAATGGTCAGGGAGGTCAGCAGCTTCCCTGTGACCAGTCAGGGGGATGCAGGGTGCAGGATCTGGGATGCAGGAGAGGTGGCTGGAGCATAACAKGGCAGAAGGGGTTGGGTGAGGTGGATTTGCCCTTCAGCCAGTTCTGACCCTGGCAGCCCCCGAGTGGTGGCCTCACTGTCCTCCCCCAGACACTGTTCAAGTCACACAAGTTCAGGGCCATCAGAGACTGTGGCCAGTAAAAGCCCAGGACATGTAGCCACTGAGGGACCAAATCTGTCATCTCTTGAGGTGCTCTTGAATGTCCCTGGGGACATTGATGGCCAAGTGGCCATTTGGCAGGTGACACTGGGGCTGACGTACCCAAGACAACACCACAGCCCTGAGCAGCTGTGGACTTCTCAGTGTCCCTTAAGGGTGAATTTTGAAAATAACACATTAATTTTTCAGTGTGACTCAGAGCAAGGGATGGGATCAGATTCCTTGTGGATGACAAACCCAAGGGTTCTTCTTCTCTTGGCACACTGTTCCTCAGCTCACAGGGCACGGTGTGTGGACTGCTGCTGTGCCATTACACACCAGGCATTGCCAGCTATTTGTGGCCTGATGAGGTTGGGTTTTTTTTTCCAAGCTCTTTGCTTTGTCTCAGTGAATCAAATCTTGGCTCTGGGCAGGATTCACATCTGTGCCTTGAATTAACAAGYGGCTGATAAGCGTCTTCTTTATTACTTGGAGAGCATAGGTCAATTTTATAAAGACGTTCCAGAAGAATGGATTTACAATTGCTCATAAAGATACCGAAAACAATGACAAGRGGAGGAGGACACTGGCCTTTATTAGCTCCTTGCTTTGAGAAATACATTAATCAAATTAAATCCAATTTAAAAGACCCAAAGAAGAATATATGAAAGGATTAGCCAATTGATATGTAACTGAATTACGAGTTCAGACGTGATTAATAGTGAAATCTGACTGYGAAAGAAAGCCTACAATGACCCAATGTACAACCTCATCCACTGGCAAAGGACCCGCTGATTCCCGGCGCCTTTGCTCGTTGGCAGCCGTCACACCCACAGCGATTTCATGCACAAAATCGACACAGAAGCCGAACGCAGGCAGAGGGTAGAGCTCCAGCAAACCAGATTCTGCATTTATTGGACTCAGAACAACAGCAGATTTTCAGGTTACAAAAAGAGCTGAACACCAAGCATGAGGAGCTGCCCCGTGGCACGGCTGAGGGCTCGCGCGGGCCCCAGGCAYGGCTGAAAGAGCCAAAAATGAGAATTTTCATTTACCCCCAGCGCAGTGTCACTGGTTTCTTTACCCTGGGTGCCAGGCAGGCCCCTCTCTTTGGTTACACAAATAAATGTCCTTCAGTCCCACATGGGGACCTGTGAGCTGCAGTTGTCCCCAGGGCATCCTGCACTGACCCCGCTGGCCCAGGCAGGCCCCTCTCTTTGGTTACACAAATAAATGTCCTTCAGTCCCACATGGGGACCTGTGAGCTGCAGTTGTCCCCAGGGCATCCTGCACTGACCCCGCTGGCCCCAGCAGCATCTGTCACCACAACCTTGCCCCATGGCACCAGAACACTGTGGGGCTCTCTCTTCCTTATCCATCACATTAAGTGCCAATAAAATAAAAACCAGCTGTGTCAGCAATCCACCTAATTCCTTCTCTGGGAGAACTTACCCTCAGGTAATGCTATAATTTGGGCAAAGCACTGCGATTCCAAACAGGGTCAGACCAGGCTGTGTGTGYTGCACCTGCATCACGTGGCTCATGGGGGCTCCAGGGTCACAGTCCCACTGAAACGGGGCCAAGAGGTCCCCAGTGTCCCACTCRGCCCTCACCTTGGAGTCAGGTCCCAGGAAAGAATTGGCATTATACCCCAAAGTCTTTCTGCCATTCCAAGGCTGCTGGCTGTTTTTCTTCTGGCAGTCCTGTGGCATTGGCTTCCCTCTTTCCCTCAGCTCTGGTGGAAGGAGCAATTGCAGACACTGGACTTTGTTAATCCCAGGAACACAGCTGTAGGCTGGGAGCCACCCCCCCTCCTCCCCCCCAGGCAAAAAAGGCACCAGCAATGAGCTTTTTGGCTTATTACAAAGAAAGTAAAATATATCAAATAGAGAACTCTCATTATTACAGAGACATGTTAACAAAGAGAAACAGCATAAAATTGCCACAGAACACCAAACACCCGGCACAGAGAGCAGCTTTTATCCACTTGCTAAGGGTTTATGTGGGTGCAGAGATTTACTCTGTGAGTCACAAGCACAGCGTCCCTGTGCCACTGAAGGGAACAAGTGCAGGGAGCGGGCACCAGTGGGCAGGGGAGACTCTGACCCACCCAAAGGGGCTGGGACACCCTGCCTGCCCACAGCCACCTGCAGTGTCCACAGCCAGCCCTGCAGACAGAACACAGACACCTCTCTGTGACCCCAGGATTCTGCCCGAATGTGTGAGGGCGCTTTGTGCAGGTSAGAGAGGGCAGAAATGAGGGACACTCCGTTGTTCCCCAAATGCACTGTCCCTGTCTAACACCTCAAGCAGCCACAAAAAGCTGGAGAAGCTGATACCAACCCAGCCTATGCCAGTGTGTACTCCGTGCATGCCATAAAAGGAGAGACCTTTGCAAATCAGGCAGCACCCAGCCAGAAAAATAATTAAAAGTCTCCATTAAATTGGCATATTCTGACTCATCTCCTGCAGAGCATTCAGCGCCTCAGTGTGCAACCAGACAGGACTCTCAGAGCATGTCACTAAACAGGCATCTTTAGCAATAGAAAATGGGCCATGCTTTTATTTTATATAGAAATAGGTATTTTTAGCATACATTATGTTAATGAAACATCCAGGGCAAGAGCTCAGCAAGGGGAGGGACACCCTGGGGACCACGGAGCTGGGCTGTGATGGAGGTGACTGAGGGCAACAGCTCTCCGGCTGGCTGGGAGCCAGGTGACACCTCGGGTACCCCTCAGCATTCCCTACGGACCACGGTGACAACCTAAAGGCCCGGAGCAAGGAGTGGTACCTCGGGGAGGGTCAGCTCCCTCGCTGAGCACTCAGTTCCCTGAGCCAAGCAAAAAGGGGCTCTGGGACATTACAGTGATGGCGTTTGGATGCTGCCGGGTCTCCAGACTCACCCACCGCCTCTCTGAGCAGAGCTGCTGCCCTGGCTCTCACTCCTGCTGAGGCAGGGGGTGCTGGCAGGAGCCTGTCAGGCTCAGATGGGCACAGGTGGGCAAAAGTGGGCACAGGTCTRTGATCCCTGCCCTGGGAATGCTGCATGCCATTGCACCACTCGCTCTGGCTCACTGCTTCTGGCGTGACACAGGGCTGAGGCAGAGTCCTTCCTGCCCTCACTGAAGGCAGCATCCTTTATCCCACAGCCTCTGTTATGGAATGGTGCCCATCCATGCACAAACGCTGTTCCCAGGGCGATGCCAACGTGTGTGTCCCTTGTCCTCCACCTACTGCCCTGGGCAGGAGCTGATGGGCTGAGCCATGACCCACACTGGGCCAGCTCAGCAGCCCCCACACCTCCGAGATTAGAGCCAGGAATCCACAGGGGAACATGGACAGAGTCGGCTCCCAGCTGTGACAGCCGGTGGGTCCCCACTCCAGGGAGCCTCGGGGACAGCTTCCTTGGAACTGTGAAYGCGATGAAATTCTCTTTGCTTTATTAAAGCAAAAGTTGACAAGAAAACGCAGAAGAAAACAAAAAGCACAAAGATAAATGGCAGGAGTTGGACTTTGGTATTTCTTARAGCCTTTTCTTCCCCAGTTCCTGCAGCAGCTTATGAAAATCCACATGGAAACAGYGTTAATTCCGCCAGCAAATACACACACAGGCGCTGTGAGTCCTGGCTCCCACATGTCCCGGTAATTATACTGTAGGGACCCAACTTTTCAATGAGCAAGTTGCAGAAGTTCACTGTGATGCTGAAGAGACAGAGAACATGACTTCAACACCCCCGACTGCCCCTCTGTCCTGGGCTGGGGCTGTTCCCCATGAGCTCCTGCCCTGCTCAGCACTCGCTGGACRGAGCAGCTCCACACTGGGTGACACACACAGGGCAGCATCCTTTTGCCACTCTTCCACTTCTCACTCCCACAGAGCTCTCACCCGGCAAGCAGGGTGGGCAAATCSCTGTCATGTTTGGCCCTCTTCCCACTCTCCCAGCAGATGAACACCCAGCAGGACACTGCCACGCTCATTAAACAACAAAGCCTTCACTGACTGGAGCCTGTGTGAAGCACAAAGCTCTCCCAAGTTGCTGCTCCAACTGCCCCGAGCCATCCTGAGCTGGTGACAAGGATTGGGCATCACCACCCATCTGCTCACTGAACTCTGCTGGGAAGGGCCAGGGAAAATTCCAGAAGACAGGGATGTACCATCTGGGATTTTTTACCAGTTCATTTGTAAGTATCTGTAGCTCACACCAGCACTGACAATGCCAGCAGCCCTCTGGCATGGGGAAACCTCCGAGAGCAGTATCCCACTGACTGCCAGACAGAAAGTTCATCTATGGATTCTGTTGCTGCCTGCAGGAGAGGGTTTTAGGAGGAGGAGTGGGATCAGAGCCATATTTAAGCAGGGGAAGGAAACCCATTACAAAGAAAGACCCTCCCCTTCAATAGGGTATTTTTCCCTACTAATTCAAATAATGAAAATCCCATCAAAAGTTGGAAAGTATCAGGAGAATTATTTGTTTTACTGTGAGTACACAAAGGAGCAGCTGCACCAAAAGGGCATTGCCTGGAGAGGTGGGCACAGGGCTCTGGGTGGGCAGAGGGCTCTGGGTGGTCTCTGGGTGGGCACAGGGTGGGCACAGGGTGGGCACAGGGTGGGCACAGGCTCTGGGTGGGCTTACAGCCCTGGGTGGGTGCAGGGTTTGCTGTTTGCCTGTGCCAGCACAAGGATCCCTTGTAGATGTCTGGGTTGGTAATACCACAACCCGTCACACACCTGCAATGGGACGTGTGACCCTGGCATGAGCCTGTGCGTGCTGTGGTCACTGACAGCCCTGACTGGGTCTGAGCAGGAGGTKTAGATGTGCTCAGGGTGTGCAGGAAGAGGGGAGCTAAAATACCACAGGGCACAGTAGGCTTGGCC